TAAGATACCCTATTGTAGGCTATGGGGAGACAATGGAACTTCTCAAATCCTCATGGGATGTCTAGAACAATACACCTATGCAGGTTGTCATCATGCCTTAGCATTGCATAATAGCTATGCTCTTGAGATGCTGGAAAGATGGACTTTGCTACATTGAGCCAAATGTCCCCATTGACGTAATAGTTTTAGAGATGGTGGGTCTTCTGGGCTAAGGAGAAAAGATCAGAAACAATGTAGCCTCATTCCTCAGTGCACATGAGATGCTGAACAGTAGCTGATGAGCTTCTAACAAAAGCTTCAATGCACAAGGACAACTCCTTACTTGAAGAAGCCCTTCAGTGGTTTCTGTAAAGGCTCAGCTGAGCCCTGATTTCAGCATGTGAGTCCTGCTTCTGCAGGAGGCAGTGAAAGGTTAGCAACTCAGAGGGTTCATGGCCAGTCTAACCTGTATCCCAGAACAATCCCATCACATTGAGCTGTGACAAATGCTTCAACCTCAACACCATTTTTTCTCATCTGTAAAATGGAACTAAATCTCCATTGCTCCTAGGATTATGAGAACAGCAAGGGTAGGGCTGCTGTAGGGATGGTGAGGGGGAAAATCCTATAAAACGTTTGTGGTATGTGACACAAACCCAATAAATGTTAGCTCTCCTTGTTCAAATCAGGAAAGAAAACACTTCTCAAGAGGATGTGAGGAGAAGAGGAGAGGACCTAGGACTCAAAGAGCCCCCACACCACACATGGGCCATGGCTCACCTCATCCTCCTCCCCTAGCAGCAGTGGCCTCGTCAGCAGGTGTGGAAGCCAAGACCGAGCAGTGATGAGCTCAAGGTCACACTGCTCCTCAGTAGCAGGGCCAGCAGCAGAACCGGAGATGTCTGATCACGAAGCCCCACCTCACCCCACCCCACAGCTTGGGCAGAAAACCCTTAAAGAAAAGAGGCATCAAATTCCCAGGTCTGAGGCCAAGAACATATGAGAAGAATCACCCCAGAGATCCTCTTGCTGAAAAATTAACCAGATCAGACAAAACCAGCCCTTTTTCTTGTGGGAGAGCCCACGTGACTCCTGTCAGTCTTTCATACACCAGAGCTCCCCTGCTGACCCCGAGGCATAATCCAGGGGCCTCCAAGCCTTTGAGGTGCCATGGGGTGGTGAGAAACAGGGGGCCCATTGTTCTCTAATTAGAGCCTGGGTCTCTTCTGAGGCCCAAGATGGGGCCTCTTAATATGGAGCCTTCACCTGTTCCAAGCTTTACTGTTACGATGCCCCCTCCCCTCAGGGGCAGCCCACCTGCCAACGCTCATGAAAGGCTGCCTTCTTATGTCGGGAGGGGGAGAGGGGTCACATGACTAGGGGTCTTTCCTTGGGGTATAAAGGACTCAGTCTCCATCTGTTCGAAGCCAGGCACCGTTCATCCGACTGCATGCAAGCGGAACTTTCACGGTAGGCACCCAGTTCTGACGGGGCGGGAGCCAAAGAGGAAGAGAGGGAGGGGGCATGGATGGAGGAAGAGGAGGAGGGAGAGGGAAGGCGGGAGGATGCTCTCCAGGGCTGTCTGAGACCTGGGTGTTGCTCCAGGACGTGCCTAGAAACCCACAGGCACTGTGAGCCTGTGTGTGAGGGGAGGTGATGCCACTCGGACAGCACCCGGTGAATTGACCTGGGGGGGAATCTGCCACTCCCTGTCAGTGAGGATCCTACAAACCTGTGTGGGCCATCGGCTCTCCCCAGGGCACCAGGTGTGGACATACAGTCACCAATAGCTCCGGGCAGCCCTCCCTGAGCACTGGGTGTGCCAGATGTGGCATTCCGCATGTATGAGACATTTCCCATGTAACCCTCGTGGTGCCCTGATGGGAAACACCAATAGATGCATTTTGCTGCCCAGGAAAGTGAGTTCCAGGCAGCATCAGTGTCTGGCTCAGGCACTCACTCCACAGGCAAAAGGCAGAGCCCGAACTGCCTCACCCCACCCCAGGTCTGTCCAGCTAGCAAGGCCTTGCTCTTAGACATGGCCTGGACTGCTGTAGACACAGCCGTGAGGAGCGGCTTGGGGAGCCAGGGCTCCAAGCACGGCATGCAGACCACAGCGAGGCCTGAGAAGCCCTCTCAGCCCCACAAGGACAGCACTGTCCTATAAGGACATGACAGCCCTAGAGGCTTCTTGGGCTTCTTGGGCTGGGCTCCTCCTCCTCAGAGGAGGAGAAGGTGGTCCTGCCTCCAGGTGGACACAGGCCCGCACCCAAGAGCACCTGGCTTGGCCAACAGAAGGGCACTGGATTTTAGCAGCAGCCCACGCCACCCCGCCCCAAGACCCTAAGGAGCTTTTCCCGCAGATTCTGTCGCCCCCCGCTGTTGCTCATGGCTGACCATGTGCTGCCACCTTCTGGCTGGCACCGTGACTTCCCTTGTCTTCGCTCTGGGGGAAGGTTGTCATCTGCTGTGTCTCGCCACACCCCTGCGAGTGGCTGGGCACTCTGAGGGTCCTCCCCAGCAAGTATTACCGATAATTACGACAGTCCTGCGGTGCATAATCGCTGGGCCGCTTAGTTTGGATTGAACGACTGGCCTGGCAGTTTAGAGTAACGCATGCGGAGCAAAGACCAGAGTCAGACTGGCCGACCTCTTTGAAGCCTGGGTCCGGCTGTTGCCATAGCGCCTCCTTCTGGGCAAAGGCAGTCTCAGCAAGTGACTGACCCTTTCTGAAGGTCCCCCCAGACCCTGCAGAAAGAAAGTGCTGTATTTTGATAGTGAAAGTCTTAGAGTGCTGTTACCAGACAGTACACGGAGCATGCTCGGTGGAGCACCCCACACAAAGAATGACCCAGTAAATGAAAGTTTGTGCTTAAAGGAATAAGGTCCTAAGGTTTATAACTTACCTTTCAAAAATTGTGGTAAAATACACATAATATTGACTATTTTAGCCCCTTTTAAATGTACAGTTCGGTAGCCCTAAGTACATCTCCATTTTTGTGCAAAATCACCACCATCCATCTCTAGAACTTTTGCCCTGTACTCATTAAAGAAGAACCCCCAATCATACCTTTCTATAACTTACTTGTAAAAAGTAAATTAGAGCAGAGTCAAGGTTACATCTGTAATAAGGTCACTTTTGCTCATTTGCATTCAATAAACATACCCAAGGAGGTAGAAGTTGAACGTCACCCTGAGCCTGTCTTATCTGAGCTGCAGGACGACCCAGGGGAAGGTACCCCTGAAATGCATCACCAGAGAAAAGGAGCAGAGATTCGCTGTGCTAAACTGACCACCCTCCTTTATTCGCCGAACTGGCCTTCCACTCAAACAGGAAATTAGGGAACAGCACAAAAGCCTTCATTGTAACAGCTACTATTTATTGGGCTTTTAACTGCAAGCCAGATGCTATAATTGTAATTCCTAATGTTTTTGGCAACTTCTCTAGGTCAGGCACTGTGTTAAGTGCCTCACATGGATTAACTCATTTCAATCCTCACAACAAACTCATAGGTAGGTACTGTTATATGATAGCACTGGACTGGGAGTCAGGAGACCTGGGAAGTGGGATATTTTTACCATAATTTGCCAATCTCTGAGCCTTAATGATCTCATCCGTAAAATGAGAGTTTGGACTACATGATTCCAATGCCCCTCCAAGTTCAGACGTTCTGACATTCTCTCGTGGTATGATGGCAATTATAAAACAATCTGACATAGTGTCAGGTAGTGACTAAATTGTCCAAGGCCACATTGGCCTCAGTCATGTGAGTATGACATCTAGGGGGTCTTTGTGCTCCTCTGAAATGACTCTGTGCTCAGCAATGGAGTTTCCAGGGCATGCCACTTTCCATCTGGAGACTTTCATTTCTTGCCTGTAATTTTCAGTCGGGTTGCACGGCCTGAGAAGGAATCGTGCACCAGGCTGATGCAACCCTGCAGAGGGCAAGCTTTGGAATTGAGCACAGGCTGCATTTTGGCCTCTACGTGCCCCTTTGCTAAGTGCCTTTATGCAGTGCACAACATGTACGACCCTATCCAGGGTGTGCCACTGGGGAGCATGGATCACGTCATGTTATCATTCATACTTTGTCCTACAAACATGTTTTAAAGCAGGATATGCACAAGTCAACCAACCATATTGCATTATTTAGGTAGTTAAATTATTTTGAAATCTCTCTGGTCTCTTTTTTCTCCTATTAAATATACGATTGACTGGCTGGAATCCAGTGAGTGCCTACTGAAAAGTGTTAAATATTTGCTGATCTGCTGCTGCAGCTGAAATGTTGGTAGGGTGCCTGGACTCTGCCCACATGATCCCTTTGCCCCCAGAGCATCCCCTGAGGCAAATCTATTGACCCCTGGGACTGCAGCAAAGTATTCAAAATGTTCAAAAGCCAAGGAAGGGAAGATGGAGATGCTGCAGGAAGACTTGTTTGCTGGCAGGCAGCGCCACCATGCGGTCGCCAAATTTATTCATATGTCAAGTGATGCTGGTATAAAAGTTCAATGCCTACCTGCTACGGGTATATTTGGAATGCTGCGGAATGGTAATGTACGGGGTATTTAAAATGAAATTAACAAAAGTTAAACTATAGCACTTGTTAAATCGCCTCCCTTCCCCATCATTCTGTGAACAACTCAAAGGTAAGAAGAGTGTGTTCCCCTCACTTTGCGTTCCTGGATCCTGAATCCTTGATGCCTGACTCAAGGCAGGCCTGGAGTAAACGACCATAGAATAAATAAGTAAATAAATGAGACCACAGCTGTGTCTTCAAGGAGATCACGGTTACACTTCCATTTCACAGATGAGACAAACTGAGTCTCAAAGAGGGAATATGATTTCCTTAATGCCATGCTGTTATTCAGTGGCAGAGCTGAGACAGAAAGTCCCTTTTGAGACTTTCTCTTTTTACTGCCCGCCCTGTGGGACCAAGGAGGGACAACGCTCGTGCGAGTCCTTTCCTGGGGTTTGGGAAGGCATACTCACCAGGTTCTGCCGACTTCTCTCCCAGGAGTCTGTTCCTGTTGGAGCCAGAGCCCCGTCCTTTGCTCTCCTGCCATGATCGTGCTGCTTCTGAGCATGCTGATGGCGCCCCATGCTGGTGAGTAATGGTATTTCACACCACATTTCCAATCTGGCATATGATTACTTAACATGAACACTGGGAGGCATTGTCAAATTTCATCTGATTTGCTTATTAGTACTTTTCATCCTCCTGCCTAACTGAGTGATGGAAATCAAACATCAGTGGTAAGCTGCAGGTTTAATTCAGCGGGTGTCTTACAGCACTCCGTACAGTACGTGAGGGTGTGGGGGGAGAGGTGGGGTGGAGAATGGAGAGGAGTGAAAAGCAAGGGGGTGGTAGGAGCCCCTCTTCACCTGGGGGCAGTGGGGGTGGCGGGTGGCGAGGCCCCGTGCAAACACTGCCTTGGACTTCAGGGCAGAGCCCGGGGCCCTCGCTCAGTCACACCTCCTATAGCTGGAGCTCTGCCAGGTGCCTTCTCACGGCCGTCTCGGTCCCAGTCTGAGTCAGGTGTCAAAGCATACAACACGCTTGGTACGTGTTGGTGACAGGTAGACAAGGTCCTCCCAGGTGTCCCTCCATCCCTGCAGCAGGACGAGCAGCAGCCCTCACGTTTGCCTCCTCACACAGCCAGGCGGTTGCTGCCTTTCCTCTTCCCCTGGCTTCCAGGGAAGGAGTCAGCCAGAGGTATGGCCGTCAAATATGTGTCCCTTGGGCCTTTCACCTAAAGCAGGCATCCTCAAACTACAGCCCGCGGGCCATATGTGGGCCGCCGGGTGTTTTTGCTGCCGCTACCTGTCCTGCTTAGCAGCCGACTCGTCCCGGGCCCACAGTACACACTCTCCAACGGTCTGAGGGACAGTGAACTGGCCCCCTGTTTAAATAGTGTGAGGACCCCTGACCTAAAGCATATGCTCCCTTTGTCTGGCAGCTCTGGAGCAGAGTTTATTCCACAGCCACAGCCCACACCACGCAGCCATGTGCTGGTCCACTTCCAATTCCAGGACCTCTGAGAAAGGAGCTAGGCATTCCCTGCTGATCATCTGGGGAGCACACATAATACTCTGCAATATGCTAGTCACCAATAGAACGTATCATTCTGCTATCTAAAAATGATATCTTCTAAGTATGCTTAAAGTTTCCTAGGCTAGGATGCTGTGATTCTAGCAGGCCACCCATCACTCACTGGCCCTTGGATGGTGTAGTTCAACGATTGCATGTTCAGTCCTTCATTAAACAGATGCTGATTCAACTTGTGTTCTCTCTTTTTCATCTATACACATAATATATATTATATACGTCACAGTGCTTACCTTCAATAAGTCCCTAGTTTAGTGGGATAAATAGTTACATAAACAGATCATGGCAACATGGGGTGACAAGTACAATGAGAGAATAATGTCCGTGACATTATGCTAGCACAGGGGTAGCAACCTTCACCCAGCCCAGGTTAGGGATCACATAGAGTCAGTAATGCAAGGGGAGCAGGCACAGGGAGGGCACCCCATGCCCAGAGCTCAACACAAGCAAAATGGGATGGCAAGAAGTAGCTTGGTGTCTAGAAAACCATAAGCTTTTCAGCATCGCAAGAACATAATGTCCAAGGTAGAGGATGATTTGGCAGTGGTGGCAAGAGCCAGACCAAGGGAAGCCTTATGTGCCGGGTCAAAGAAACTAGAGCTTCATGCATGAGCCTCAGTCTCATTGTCTATAAAATGGTGACGACAATGTGTGCTTCGCAGCCCCGTGGCGAGAATCACTGGAGGCGAGGTGTGCAGAATACAGTACCAGCTCTGCTCCTGCAGCAGGACGGATGCTTGTCACCTTCCTGCATGGAATGACAAACTTACTGAATCAGAATCAATGTTATTCTGGTAAATTTTGTCCTTGCCTTGCCTCTGACTTTCCATCTCTCTCCCCCATCACACCGCCAGACTTTGCGAGTGAACTAATTCAGTCCTCTGGGATAAAGTTTAAAATCCAGGGTGACTTTTTTAGCCGCTAATGAAAATGTGTGGGCGTCGATATGGCGAGAGTAAGTGGGAGTGCCCGGGAGCAAGCATGCCTTATTAGCACCCACCCATAGTAAGATCGTCTCCCACCCTCCAGAATAGGAATTTAATTATCAGTTGCACAAAGAAATACGAGTGCAGTAATTATCAAGGAGCAGGCACTAGTTTACAATTGCTGCTTAAGTGGGCAGCAGGTATTCTTAGTTGTTGGCTGTTATGCTGATTAGTTTCAGAGGCAATTATGCCAAATGTGAAATGTGCCAGAGCAATTACATGGGCTCTGTGACAAGGGCTCAAGTGGAACTGAGTTCCTGAGTCTCCAGCCTGGTCTGAAAGTCTGCGTTTCGCAGGCTCCCCTCCCCTCAAAGCCCGCAGTTCTCAGGCAGGAAGGAATTCCCTCTCCCTGGAAACCATCCCAAGAACTTGACAGAGAGGATGCATGGCTGGCGCCGGGCCCTGTGACATGTGAAGCCACAACCCTGCACAAGCCTGCGCCTCTGACCTAGCTGGAGTACTGGTCCCCCAAACCACACTGCGCACACCCCAGGCGATGCACATTCCTTTCTCTCTCAAACTGAAGTCAGCTTGTTTTGTTCAGTCTGCATGCTATTTTATTTTAAATTTGAGCCAAGAGCTTACAATTGGGAGATTTCCCTCCTCAATCCAGATTTCTATCAAATTTTGAAAAAGTTGAATTGTGGGACTCCTTTCCCAAGCCCTGGGGCTGAGTCCTTTCCCTCTCACTGCGACCTGGGTCTCTCTAGTTCTGCACAGTCCTCAGCGTTCCCTGTTGCTTCCCCACACTGGGCCCGGGCCTCTCATTCACATCACCTGCCCGTCCCTTGCAGAGATGAGGATTTGCAGTCCTGGGTCTTACGTTGGACCCCCATTTTCTCTGTCCTGGACAAGTACAGTCAGCCCAAGTACTACCGGTTCTGGGCCTCCCATCTCAGCCATCCCAACTCAGTCTTCACGGTTTCCTTTTGTCCACTCCACAAGCGTTGGTTCAGTTTCTAGGTTGCCCAGTGAGGCGCTGGGCCGTGGAACTACGACAATGAGCGTCCCTGCCCTCAAGATCTCAGCGTCTAATGAGGGAGACGGACAAGAAAGGAGACCCTGAGAATTGGTGTGGAAAGTGTGTGGTAGAGGTCACCAGCCCAGAGTCCCCCCAAAGTCAGGGGAGGGAGTGAGGAAAGACTTCATATGGCATTGTTCACACCAAGCCTCACAGGGGTTAGCAGGGCTCAGCCAGGCCGAGTCTAGATTAAAGTATTCAGCAGAGGCCACAGCCTGTGCAAAGGCCCAGGACCCAGGGCACACGGAGAAACCGAGAGCAATTAAGATGGTTTGAAGTGTAGAGGCCAACAGGGGGCACAGCTCCAGCTGTGCCAACCCACTGTGGCCCCCCAAATACACCTCACAGCTTCACAAGGCTATGTCTTTGCTGTTGCCTTTCCCCATCTTTCCTGCCTGAAGAACTCTCGTCCCCCCTCAGTGACTCTGAAGCTGCTCTCGATACCCTCTTAGCCACACTCTGCACCTTGGCTGTTCAATCAGCATTGATAGCTGTCATCAAGGGAGTGGACAGAAGGCCTTGTTGCTGCATCCTCACATGGCAGAAGAGACAAATTCTGTGTCCTCACATGACAGGAAAAACAAACCTGTGCTTCACGTAGCAGAAGGTTAGGAGGGCAAAAGCACCTAGTTAGTTCCTTCAAGTTGTTCCTACAGGCATCTAGTGGGCAGAGGCCAGGGATGCTGCTAATCCTACAATGCACAGCAAAACCCCCCACAAAAGAAAATTTTTCAACTCAAAATGTCAGTAATGTGAGGCTGAGAAACCTGCTCTAAGCCAAGGAAGGTCAAGTCAGGCACCATCTGGGGGCATCTCCCTGAACAGATTTAATCTACCATACTTCTGTGAAGGCTGACCCTTTGCGACTGTCAGATTGATGGTTTCCAAACAGTGTCAAACTGACAAGGCTGACTATATAACTGTCCACTTGATAAAGAAACACAAATCTCTTTTGACAGTTTCCAAGTATCTATAAGCCTTATATCATTGGGAAAAGAAAAATGTGAGCACGGACAAGTGCGGGAGTTAGCTACTCTTCCAGCAAAACAGGTCCCAAGGCAGGATTGTCGCAAGGGATTTGAAATAATAGGAAATAATGAAATAAATAATACAGATGGAGAAAAGATTGAGATGGAGACAAAGTGCAGTTTAAATGACGGGGGAGTTAGGGGCTCTCCAGCATTCCTGCAAGCTGAGACCACAAGTGAAGTCCCGCATCAATATTTATTGGTACAGCAAATAGCTGTCTTTTGTTACAGAATTATGTGTACAGTTCGTTTTTTGAGGTTTCCAGGGGAACCTTACCTAATTCTGTCTACAAGAATAGACGGTTACACAATTTTTCTAAGATAAGCATGTTAAGCCCTAAGTTAGAAACAGACTTAGCTGAGCATACAAATTAAAGATAAAATGTATAAAATGAGAACACTGAATCTGTGTACTACTCTAGTCTACTTCTTCTAAACACAGAGACATGTAGTCAGGAGTGAAGCAGAAATAGCCTTGAAGTCTAGGATAGATCCAGCTGCATGTTATCTGCTGGGCAGGCATTTTAATCAGCTTCTCCGCCAAAGATCCAAACCAAGCTTCTGCCTTGCAAAACAGCTCAAGGCAATGGCCGGCAGCAAAGAAGAAACGAGAAACGTTGCTTTGCAAGTGTCCTCTGACAATGCCTCCCTTGTTGGAAACAGCTCCATTTTGTGAACTAATATGTCCACAGATTCCTTCAAGGCAAAGCCCTGCAAAACCCCTGAAAATTTTTACATCTCTTAGCCTATTTCCCAACAGATAAGTCCATAACCTCTCCGAGCCTTTTGGGAGCATCTCTACAGCCATACTGGAATTACAGCTCCCATCTATTTACCTCCATTGCTCTAGGCTGTAACCTCCTGGCCCCACCATAATGAAGTAAGTGCTGGCTGAAGGTAGTGGCAGCATTGGGGTACTAGTATAGGTCCCCCACTCCATTATCTTTATACCCCCAAGCAACATTTCTCAAGGTGCATTTTCTAGACCACAAGCTTCAACTTGAGAACACAAGAACTGGAATTGTTTATGAGCCTGCATTCTAGGTGATTTTGTTGATGATAGTCTGGGAACATCCTTGTCCTGATTATAAATTCCTTGAGGGTTGGTATCCTTTCCATTCCTTTACTTTTTTCCACCAGTTCTTTATCTCAAGGAACTCCAAAACAAACCTAAAAGGTAAATAATGCTTCAGATGTAATGATAGCTCCAAGAGAAATCCTCAAATATCTCCATCCGCTCAAAAATGCCATTGTTAAGGCCAACCAATGTAAACACCAGGATTACTCCAGCCACCTTTTTATTTTTTCCAGGAACTGCCACTTAGATCTGGCACATAGCAGGTTCTAAAAAAATATGCATGGAATTGGCTGTCACCTCCTGGCCTTAGTCCCGCAAGTGGGTGGTGGTAGTAGTGTTTGTGCTAAGCCTGCTTTCTCTTCCTTCTTTTTAGGGGGCCATCCTCTGGACACTCCACATCTTCCGCAGGAGTTGCCTCCAGAACTCTCAAAAAATATCAGTAAGAATTCTTTGAACTTTTCTTAGGAGCTGGGAAGAAAGTTGTCTAGGATATTGGCAGAGAAAACAACCTTTTCTGAATATACCCTAGAGCCACTCACTGCTGTGGCATTTATAAGCAAAGTGATGCAAGCCAAACTCAAAATATTTCCCCAACAGTCTCCCTGGTATCTGACCCAAGGTCACCTGAAAGAGGAAACCAGAAGAAGGCAGGAAACGGGCTGATCATGAGGGTTATCTCACATCTTAGCTTCAAATTGAGCTCTGAGTTTCCAAGAAGGCAGGACAAGACCAAAAGGGACAGATGATGTGTTGCTTGGTCTGGTTGTAAGAAAGGAGATTTATCTCTTGGAGAACAGAAAGTTTTCCTGGTGATGGATTATAAAGGTTGCTGGGGTGGGTCCTTGTATGGGCATGGCTGAAGGCATAATGCATAGAGAATTAGCTGGTGATGTCAGCCCTAATAAAGGGTTCATTTCTAACTGTTCAGAGAGGTGAGTTGAGTCAACTAAATTATTAATGCATGAACCTGTGCAAGCAAAGTGATTAGTCCCACACAGATCCAAATGACAAGTGCCTCTCTCCAAAGGGCATAACTCTCATAGGAAGCTCAATGCCCACCAGGAGGCCTTCTTCAAGTAGATGTTTAGTCACATGACCACCCTTTGCACTTAGAAGGATCAGGGTTGAAAACACAGCCTGCCAACAGGCCATGGCAGCCACTCCTCAGTAAGAGTAGCCCTTATGGCAATCTACACAGCAGTCCAGGAGACCCCTGGTAACAGCTGAAGAGAGTGGGACCCACATGAGGCAACCACAGTACTGGCCCCAGCTTAGAAACTTCATTCTCTGTAGGCATCGGTATCTCTAGTAACAACTTCATAGACTTAATTTCTAGGATGCCTAGTAGGGACATGACCATTTATAATAGTCATCTACTGAGTGAGTCCCAAGATGATGACTCCCTAGTTCATCCATAATTCCTACCAGTCCAGATATACTTTACCATCCAAGGGTTATTTTCACCATCGAGCAATGTTGCCCAGTAACACAATTACATTTCATCGTTACCAGGTTTCCATGGTAACCTGTGCTACTAGAAAGTTAGCCCAAGGTCAAATCTGGCCTTAGAGAAGGAAGAAAAGTTTTATGTACACTTTACCCAGAGGGTGAGCAGAGAGGGAGGAAAAGGGAGAAACCAAGACTTCTTCATTTGTTTTCTCTTTCTTCTACTTAGATATCACACTCTTCAATGGGATGTTTCAAAATGTGGAAAGTGTAGCCGAAGTTTTTGGTAAGTTAAATCTGAAATTGTTTTTATCCACCAAGTGTCAGGGCATGGAGTATGTGTGGGAAATCTAAGGAAATGACCAGGGCCTTGGTCTCTGTGCTTGGAGCTCCAGTGGCCTCTCAGCCAGCTCCCAGCTTTGGCCCAGGTTCTGATGGGAGCTGAGACACCTCTCACTGCAGGGTGAGTCATTAAGTTGCCGTGTGCTTTTATATTCCTTTCTTCATTAGTTCTGATGACAAACTTGCCAGGAAGGGAATAGTACAGGTACCCCATTTTACAGGTAAGGAAATTGAGGGTACAGGTGCCCTGTAAGTTTTTAAAGAAAAATACATATTTGCATAAACACACACACCCTCACACACACCCCTTAGAGTGGCTTTTTCGGTCAGCATAAAATCATGTTTTCATTTTTCTGATTGGGACTTGTGGGAAGAAAACATGGAAATGGAAGTTTTCTTGCCAATTTTGTTTGCTGTAGACTTTAGGGAAAATCATTATCCCTGGTTGATCACTTGGCATATTTCAGACCATCAGTTTCTTTACTGTGAACTGTAAACTAAGTTTGTTACTGTGAAATGGCAATGACAGAATAGCATATACGTTGCAGTGTTGACACAAGGTCTATGGAATAACAGACAGAGTGAATGCTTTCCAACTTATTACACACCCTGTCAATCTTAACTATCATGCTATTGAAAGCACTTGGTGCAACTTCTGACACTTAGTAGGTACTCAAAAGTTGTGACTGTCTGTACCTCTTTCCTTGCTAGACTGGAGTTTAGTTTTATGATGCCAGCATTGTATCATTTGGGATCCATTCAGCAAAGTAATAGTGACTCAGATAATAGAGACATTTAATTATCTCAAGTGGTCTGAAATCATTAGGAATGGTGAAGAAGCTCAACGTGGCTATCAGAGACCCAGCAGTCTCTTTCTATCTTGCTCCACTGTTACCCTGAATGAGATTGGCTCTCATTCCAGGGAGTTATCCAGATCCTATGGTATGTCTGGTTTGCAAAAGTTTTTCAACTTCAGGCTTGGGGCCTCATGATCGCCATGTGGTTGCTGCAGCTCCAGCCAGTGTACCTGTTTCCACATTCAAGGAAGGAGAAAGGTGTAGATCAAAAAGATCTTCTCACATGCCTTTATTCTTTATTAGAAAATAAATGTTTCCCAGAAGCCTCTAAAAGACTTAAAGTTTTTCAGCCAGATCTGGGTGACATGCTCAGCTGTAGACCCATCACTGTCTTAGAAGTGTGGGACTACTGTGGCCAGATGAGAATGATCATGAAACATCCTCAGGGACTTAGGGAGAAGGTTCACCTGCCTTGAGAACTGTTCAGTTTGTTAGTAAGGAAGGAGGGATAAATGGCTGTTAGGTGGGCAACCAACAGAAACAATGGCTTAGAACCTGTTTCCCTTCCATTGTGTAGAACAGTCCTGACTACACAGCAGGTGCTTACTAGGCTGATGAGGTGCCATCAGCCTGAGGCTCCCTCCTAGACCCTGGTTCCCAGTGCCCATGGGCCCCTGCCCCACCCCCACAGACTGCCTGGGCACCCACTTCACCTGGCTGCAGGCTGTCTTCACCAACTTCCCTGTGCTGCTCCAATTCGTGAACGGTATGAAGTGCGTGGCTGGTCTCTGCCCCCGGGACTTTGAAGACTATGGCTGCGCCTGCAGGTTTGAGATGGAAGGGCTGCCCATGGACGAATCTGACAGGTGAGCGAGATCCACAGGTGAGGAAGACCAAAAGGTGAGCTTGTGGGAGGCCTGGTTGATACCTTGGGCAGAGCACAAAGACGGAAAGGGCCTGGACTTGGGACTCAGGAGAGGTCTTAATTCCACCGTCTGACAGCTGGGTGACTGATCCCCTCATCTTTTCACGGCAATGTAATCTGTGATAGGCTCATGTTCCAGGGAGTTATCAAGATCCTATGTTATGTCCAAAAGCAAAGCTTCATTTTAGCGTTTCTCAAGTTTGGGCCCCCCACACTGCTGGGATGTTTGTTAAAATGCAGATTCCTGGGATCCATCTCAGACCCACTGACTCAGAACACCTTCAGGTGGGACCTTGAAGTCTGAATTTTAAACAAACTCTCCAGGTGACTCTGCTGCAGAATAAAACTTGAGAATTATTTTTCATTCAGGTCAGTCCTAGAAGCCAGGGGTAAAGCAACTATAAAGCTTTATGTTTAATTTTCAACAAATGTGCACCAAAAACCAATAATATATGAACACTATGCTTAAGATAACAAAAAACTATTTTTGCTTTAAAGAGCTAAATGTCCAGTGGAAAATACAGAGAAACTGAAAATGGCCAATAATGATGTGCTCCCTCCCTGTGTACAGGGAGTGTAAATTAAACAAGATACCAACTTTCACCCGTCAGATTGGTGATAAAATTTAAAACCTAAAAGCATTAAGCATTAGGAAGAAAGTGGTAAGCAAGGACTGGGTAATGGGAGGGTCATTTGGGGCATTTACCAATTAGCAATATTTGGTGCTGTCTGTTAAAGTGTTAAGGCATGTTACCTATGACCCAGTGTTCCAATTCTTTGCTCCTCATTTACTCTGTGAGCTTAGGCAAGTTATTTAGCTTCTTTGTGCTCCAGTTCTTTCATTGTGAAATGGACAATAATCCCCAATTCATAGAATTATTATCTAGGATTAAATGACCAAATTCAGGTTAAAGTGATTGGGGCTCTGCCTGCCTATTGTTACTATTACCATAGTAACAGTGGCAGTGTAGCTGTGGTAGTATTAATAATAACATTAGTAGTAGAAATAACAGTAATAGCACAGCAGTAGTAGTAGCGGTAGTAGTGGCATTTTAGTAGTCTAATTCTAGTAGAACTGTGTTACTAGTAAAATAGCAGTAATAATCACAGCAGTTGTAGTTATAGTAATAGCGGCAATAGTAAATAAGAGTACTCAAATGGAAATGGGAATTTGAACCCAAGTCTCCACTCTACTCCATGAACCATGTCCCCACCAAACTGGCATGTTATACCTGTTCCCAAATCCATTGTGGTGGTGGTGGGGTGCTGTCATCTGCATAGACTCACAGGAGGTAGGGAAGGAACCCCTTTGTGACAGGGTGGCCAGCTTATATCTTCCTGGCACTTCTCCTCTAGGACACCCTCTTTGGATGCCTTGACTCAGGCACCAGGACAATTTCTGTGCTCCCCAAACACCTGTATGTCTCTTTCTTGCACCTCCCACACAAGCTGATGTGTGTCTACAGGGTCTGTCTTCTTGATCCCCTCAACATCCTCTAAGTGGGGGTCTGTACTGTGTCACTCTCAGTGCTGACTATAGTACCTGGCACAGAGTAGAAGCTTAGCCAACGAGGTGGTCAAGCTCTCATTGCTTTTTGGAGGTCAAAACTAAACAAATTAAAAAGTGATGTATCTTTGGTTGGCAAGGAATAATGACTTTGGAATTAAACAACAAATCTGTCCCACCCCTAAACCTGCAAGAGAGGGTGTAAATGCCTCTGTGCCAAAGGACAGTTTCCCACCCTGGGGACCATGAGCAAAGGGACTCCTGGAGCAAGCTCACTGGCATTCAGAAAGGGAGAGGCTTGTTCTGCACAGCTCACGGGGCCAGAGCCATTTCTGGAAACACATTTTCCTTTCGGGTCCTCCCTTATTACTTCTATGAATTATTAAAATACCTTGTAAATCTAGAAGCCAAAAAAAAATGAAGCAGCAATGTATTACTTTCTTCAGCCCAAAAGCAATAATCAGAGCACTGATGTCCCCGAATTGGCAGAGTGATGGGTCACACCCAATTTCGATTACTGTAAACAGTTCAGTTGATGGGGCTGGTGATTTCCATACTCCCGGAGGACAGGTTAATTCTACCTTGAACTTGCACACCAGATTCCAGAAATAATTGCTTGCATGTCTTGAGTGTCTAGGATGTGGTAGGATCTTTATAGCTATTTTCTTAAATCCAGAAAATTCTTATGAGTGAGGTAGTGTGAAAAATTTAGTAGCTTGTTCAAGGTCGTCAGCTGCCTGGTGTGTGTTTTCTTCTTTACACTGGTCCCCGCTGACCTCCTGTCTGCACTGCAAGAGCTTACCTGACCTCCCACATTCAGTGTCATCTTGTTCCTTGACCAGCCTTGACCCTGGGCAAGTTACAGAGCCTGTGTGCCTTGGTGTCCATGCATGTAAATGCCCATAACAATAACCGCACTTGCTGCTCTGATCCATGGGAGAACTCAAGGAGTTAATGCTTGGAAAGCACTTAGAACAGGGGCTGGTACCTTGTAAGCACTCAACAAATGCTGGCTGCTGTAACAAAAGCAATCATAATATTTATCTTTATTCCTTTGGAGGAAGGGGAAGTTAAGTTGTCTGATTTCTGGGGCTCCTTCACCAGCCCATTTCAGGTCCTGCTGTGCCCCCAGGTCCCGTTATAGTTTCCTGTGCCCCTGCCTTGTCCCCCAGACCAACACCCCACCTCAACTTCTTCCCGGGCCCCAGTGTTGGGGCTCTTCCCGAGCCCTGTACCTGTCTCTCCATCCACAGGGGACTCAGTTTCCCCTTCCTCCAGGGCCTGGCTTGGCCCCCCAAGGGAAGAGCTCTCCCACGAATGCCTGCCCCAGCAGCTTGTCCTATCCCAGCCTCCCTGCATGACTCCTGCACCAGCCTCCAGGCAAGAATATACTGTACCAGACCCTTCACAAAAAAGCAAAAATGAAGTCACTGGGTGGCAACTTGAGGCAACAAAAGGAACACAGACTATACAGGCAGGTACCCCTAGCTTCTAGCGCAATTTACCTGCCACCTTAGGAAAGGCAGTGTTTAAATCAAGGCTCTGGAGCCTGATTGCCAGACCTCAGTAGCTGTGCAGGCCTTAGGAAAGTGGCTTGACCTCTCTGGGCTTTAGCTTCCTCATCTCTAAAATGAGGATAACACTGCCTCACTCAAAGACTCGTTATGAGCATTAAATGTGAAGTGCTTAGAACATTCCCTGGAGTTAAGCTCAAAAGTCTGAACTATTATTAGTGAACATCACCGAGACTCAGTTTCCTCAGTGGTGAATGGGGGTGAATACCTCATAAAGTTATTTTGGAATGAGGTAAGTAACTTGCCCAAACATATCACTGGCAGTCAGTGGAACTGGGATTCTGATCCGGGGCAGGGCATGCCTGGTCCTCACCTGCTGAGCCTCCTGCACACTGAGTCCTGAAGCTGAGATCCAGGGAGTTGGGTGGCAACACTGCAGACCTGCTGTCTGGAGTTTGCAAGGGTGGAGGAGATTCCCAACCCTTCCCTTTGTCGCACCAGAGGGAGAGGCTTCCAGCGTGGGGTGTCACCTGTATGCAACTCACACGCATCCTCCCCAGCCAGGTTCATATTTCATCTACTGCCCTCCTTCCTTGGCTGGTCAGCAAATGTTTTGAATTCCCTGTGAATCCAGCTGGAACCTGCAGCCCCCGGCACTCTCCTCAAGCCAGCAGAGCTCGCCATTTACAACCAATGTTCGGCAAAGAATGTAGACTTCCCCGGTTCTTACTGTTGTCTAGCTCTGACTTCCTTTGATGTGTAAGCAGCTGAACACCCTGTATCTCCCGACTGTGTGCTGTGTCTATGCCTTGCTCGGGGCCTGGTGCATATCAGGTATTCCACCAAATCAGTCTCTTGACTGCCACTAACTTGCCGTGTGACCTTGCATAAGTCGCTTCTCCTCTCTGGGCCTCAAGTCCTTATCTCCACAATGGTGTGAGAAGCTGCACATTGACACCAAGGTGCTACCCTTTGTGTTCTTTTTAATAATGTCGTCTGGGATGGAACAAGCTGTTCCGTACAAAATTCCAGCCAGCCTATTAAGGGATTGGGTTCAAACCATGTCTTAATATTTGATTACTCTCTTCTCCTCCAGAATATGTGGGTTTATCTTTCTCTTCTCTCCGTAAATGGCAATCTCAAACACCTGTCCTGGATTCGAGAAGAGCTAGATTGTTCTGTAACACAGAAGCCATCTGTCCCATGAAGCTGCCTTGGGCATCACACGCAGGGGCCGTGTGTAGGCTGGTGAAAAGGGTAGCACTTGCCACTCTCTCGCTGATGGTCCACATCTTCTTTCCACTGGATGCATTGTTGCTGGGGTCTGTAACCTTGACCCTGATGGCTCAAGGGTCAATTTCTTTGCTTAACCACATGTACTCACCAGCAAATTGGTATTAATGGATCAACACCTAAGTGGACATATAGGAGTAACATTTATTGGGTGTTGCGAGGGTGGGAGGGGGGAGGAGGGGATGGGTATATACTTAATAAGTAAATTAAAAAAATGTCTTAACTTAGAGGTGTTGTTCCCTAACATGTCCTTGGCCCTGTCTTCACTGCCCAGTCCAAGCAAGTGACAGTGTTGCTCATCCCACCACTGGCACACAAGATGGGGTAGTAAAGTCACCTGTCACATGAGGCCGGGTAGTGGGGAGAAGAGAGGATGACTGACTGCTGCTGGTTAGGACAGCGGTGGGCCCCACAAAGGGACAAGGACAGTGACGGGGAGCAGGGACAAAGGAGTATCCAAAGACTTAGCGTCAGGATGCAGAGCAGGACATGCTGAGCCTCCCTTCACACTGAATCCTAAGGCTGAGATCCAGGGGGCTGGGCAGGGACGATATAGACTTGCCATGTGAAGCTTGCAAGATAGCAGATGGCGAAGTGTGTGTGTTGCGTGTGCGTGTGTGTGTGTTGCGTGTGCGTGTGTGTGTGCACAGAGCATTTGAGATAGAACACCACAGAATGATCCTGGGCTGCCTACCCTCCCCTCACCATACCCATCCTCTTGTCCCGCCCCTGCTGCAGCTGCTGCTTCCAGCACCGCAGGTGCTACGAGGAGGCCGCTGACATGGACTGTCTGCAGGACCCGGCCAAGCTTAGCACAGACATCGACTGCGTCAGCAAGAAGGTCACGTGCGGTGAGCATCTCCAAGCTTCCCCTCGGGCTGGGCCAGGATGTGACAGGGCAGGTACCCCAGGCCTGGGCCTGGCAGAGATCTCCCGGGGTCCATCTGCATCATCATCGTGATTGGTAACATCATTGTCCACACTGAGAGCCCCATGAGGGCTGGATCGAGGGCATCTATACCTTGCATGGAGTCTATGCATAATAAATGTTTTAGAATTGAAATGATAGTTGATCAACAGATTATTTGACTTATAATTTTATACTTGTAGCAACCCTGAGAGCTTAGGAAGGCTAAATAGTTTGCTACTTATGCATCGTGTAACATGGAGGCAATTACTTAACTTCTCTGAACCTCAAGATGGGGAGGGGAAACCTACTTCAAAGATTTGCTGTGAAAATTGAATGAAACAATGCAATGAAGTGGTCAGCACAGGTACCAGAGATGGATGTGGAGCTGGAAGTCACAGTGGGTGGATAAGGCTTGTGGTGCTGGTTGTCTGCAGGAATTAGAAACGTGTAGGCTCAAATCTCAGCTCCCCATCTGATTCCCTGTGTGACTCCAGGATTTTATTTTGTGTCTCTGAGCATTAAAGGCCTGGGGGTAGAGGGGACCTGGCACGTAGGGGGTGCTGTGTTAGAGTCGTCCTCTATGTGTGCATACATGTGCCAGAGGCTTCACGCACAGTGACTCTGATCCTCCTAATAGCCCTAATACGCTGGGGCCATCTCTTGTCGCGGTTTCCAGACAAGAAAAGCAAAGTGCAGAGAAATTAAATAGCTCACCTGAAGTCGCAAAGCTGTGAAAGGGCAGGCTCAGGGTTTGAAGCCAGGTCCAGCTGACCCTCGAGTGCAGGTAACACAGACTGGCTGGAAGATGGAGTGTTGGGGGTGGATGGAGGGGAGGACGTGGGTGAGAACCACTCGGAGAGGTGCCCAGTGAACACAGAAGACGGGAGTCATTCATTCACTCAGCTCTTACGCCAAGGCACAACAGTCGTCGCCGTGTCGGGGATAGCCTGACCTTCTGGAATGTTCTCACCATATCGGACACTGAGAATATCTGAAACAAATTATGTAGTCTATTAGACAGGGACAAGAGCTCTGGAGAAAATAAATGAGGGAAAAGGTGCAGGGAAAGTTGGGGCGGGGGCTCCTATTTAAACAGGAAGTTCAAGAAAACCTTCCCGAGACAATGACAGTTGAGCAAAGACCTAAAGAAGAGGCGGGAAGCGATCCTCATGGGTACTGGCAGAGGAGGGGTGCAGACAGAAGCAGCAGCATGCGACGGGCCCCGTGGCGCCGAGCGCATTTGAGAAACAAGGGGGCGGTGAGCCTGGAATAGGTGGTGAGGGGTGTGGAGGAGGGTGGGACCTGGGGGGACAGGGACCTGCCACGTGACGTTCCTGGGCTGCAGTGAGACTTGTACTTTGAGGTGGGAAGTCGGTGGAGGGTTCTGAACAGAACACAGACATGGTTTGTTCTGACTCCCCGATAGATCGGGCAGCCGGGCAGAGCAGGGAGACTGGTTTGGAGGCCGTGGCCGTAACCCAGCAGGAGACACGGGGACTCAGCCCAGGGCAGGAGGGCGGAGACGCAGACACGTGGGCAGGCTCTGTGTGGCAGGTAGGGCCGACAGGATCGATGGAGGGACTGGGCGTGAGCGTGAGGGAAGAGGAGTGTGTACGGTTTGTGTCTACACAACTGAAGACACAGAGGTGACCTGAGGGAGACCGAGAGGTCGCAGAAGAGTGGTATTTTGACCAGGCAGGCTGGGACTCCCGTCTTAGGACTTGCATTACCTCTTGGGATTCCAAGTAAGATCTTTCCAGCCTTCTCTGCTCTCGCTTTGTGCAGAGTCTAAGGACCCTTGTGAGCACCTGCTGTGTACCTGTGACAAGGCTGCCATTGAATGCTTGGCTCGGTCCAGCCTCAACTCTTCACTGAACCTTCTGGACAGCTCCTTCTGCCTGGCTCAGGCTCCAGGTGGGAAGACCCAGGCCGGCATCAGCGGTGGGGTTGAAAGGGTGCTCTGGGCAGGAGCTGGTTTGGAATCGGTTGTTGCTTCAGATGTCAAATCCAGCACCTTCAAACATTCCCCCATCCCACTGCTCTAACCAGACTTTCCAATGTGTTTTCTTTTCAGAGACAACCATCGGGAGAGAGCTGACAACACTTCTGCCCAGAGGTAAGGCCTCCCAGGGAGTCTGGCTCCTGCTTGGACCACAGGGTTCAGACGGTGACAGGAGCTGGTAGATGCACCTCCTTCACCTGGACTGCCTCACCGAAGCTGGAGAGTCACGTCCCTGCCTCCCCAGCTGGGAGATGCAGTTATTTCTGATAAACCTAATTCAAGCACCCAACATCAAATGATCTTAGTGCAAACTTGGTCCCTTGCTATATGGACAAGTATAAATTTAATCCAATGAGGAGGTAGACTCCAAGTTCTTTCTTTCTTTTTTTTCACTCCATAGTCAGAGCCCTAGTATACAGTGTGATAGGGACAGGACCTAGTGCTCAGATGGAGCAAGACCCCTCCCCACTAGGCGAGCTGCTGGCTATCTCCTTCCCTCCTGCCCCTTCCTCCACACACTCTCCGGAGCCTACACCTAAAGGTGCAGCCTGGGTCCAAGTGGAGGCTCTTTGAAGGGGAGGCTTTTGTCATGGGTCCTTTCAGGACAGGGCCCTTAATAACTGTCCACTTAACTAAGCAAGTAATACTTCTTACTCTAAAATACGGATCTTACAAAATAATGAGAGGTGCATACCTGCCATTCCTTGTTCACCAAAGTTCCCATGATCTCTCAGTCCCAACACCTCAGGGCACGTGGGAGTGAGAAATCCAAGATGTGCCTTAGCAGAGCATCCCCTCTCTCCTGGGGCAGGGGTCTCTCTCCCAGGAATGATTGTTAAAGAGGAAGCTGGTGTGTAGGTACATGCGTGTGTGTGTGTGTGTGTGTGCATAGTGTGCACCTGCGTGTTGTACCCCTATGTATCTTCTGAGTCCAGTGCTCTTTTTTTCCTTTGCCACCATACCTCCCTTTTGAACAGAGCTCTTCTCAAGTTGGGACACCTTTGGGGTGTGCAGCTCTTTCATTGCATTCAGCCCAGTGTCTCCACCAGCATCCCGCAGTGGCTGTGCTCTGCCCCGAGCTGGGCACTTGCAGGGAACCCCATGTTCTGGGAGGTATAAGGGTGGAAAGGAAACTCAAAGGCAGAATGGACAGCTCTTCCTGGCCACCCTTTCCCCGGCCCCTTCCTCCCTTGGTCTAGCAGTCTCCAGCCTCTTTGCCTGTGAGTCCTGTGAGTCCTGTGCTTGGTTTCGATACCATGTTGCATCTGTCATTGCTGCTGAGGGCTTTCTTTTTTCAGTGGATCCTGGGGAGCCCACAGATGCCAGCCTGAAAGCCCTCTCAGGAGAAGGTGAGCCGAAGAGAGCTGGTGTGTAACCCAGACACCCATGTCTTCATTGTGCCATCTGCCAACAAGCTGGCCTCAGCTCTCCTAAAGTGTCCCCTGCCTGGCTGGTACTGTTGTGGAACTGCTTCAAGTATTTTCCAGAGCCAGCCCTGGCTCTTCCTGGGCCCCAAGTCCTTCCTTTACTTCCTCGGCTTTCTTTCACACTCCTACTTTCACCATGTGGAATTGCCAAATAAATGCAGGATGCCCATCCATTAGAGTTGAATTTCAAATGAACAATACATACTTTTTTTAGCATAAGTATGTATGAAATATTGCATACGACACACTCAGATCACTCTGCAAACCACCTCCCTAGAGGTTTGGCATTTCCATTCTCTGCTGCTGCTGCTGCTGCTGCTGCTATTGCTAGGAGCAGAGGCCTATGGTGCTGCTTTCTCCTGGCTGTGCTCTGTGTGGCCAAGGGCATCTCATCCCCAACAACTCCCAGACAGCCTGTATCTCAGGGTCCAGATCCAGAGAGAAGAGGAAATGTCACCCTCACCCCATAAAAGCTCCACCATATTTCCTGCCCAAGGAGTGACATTTCTAGTGTGATTGACAGCAGCAACAGCAACTTATATTCTATTTTAGGCAAATCGTCAGCCCCAAACTTGAGAATATACAGTGGGCTTCATGGCCCCATCAATCACAAAGACCCCAAATTGGTGCATGTTCCAAAGTGTGAGTGCTTAAGCCTTAGCTGTCATTACTTTGTGGCATCAAGAATTGATAGTGCTCATCCCTGAGAACGATGCAGTGGAAATCAAGTTCCTCGAGGAGTCTAAAGTCTAACTGAAAAAAGAGGGGATGCCCACACCCCCCACAACACACCAGTGCACATCCATGACTTGGGCAGTGCAGACGAGTGCCCTTCAGGAAGGAAGGCCACCTGAATGCAAGATCAAAAAAATCAAACACACAAGTGCAGGTGGGAGAGTTTGTGAGAAAAAGATACTGAGCACAGAACCATTCTCATCATCATGTCATGAAACCATTAGGTTTTGGAGGCAGGTGGATTTGGGATCAAATCCTACCTCTCCCATTTTTCAGTTGTATGACATTGGAAGAGTGATTTAACCTATAAGCTTCACTTTTTTCAATTGTACAAAACAGGGTGTGGCAAACTTTTTCTGTAAAGGCCCAGAGAGTAAACAGTTTAGGCTTTGTGGGCCATAGGATCTCTATCACAATTTCTCTACTCTGTTATTGTAGCATGAAAACAGTCACGGGCAATATGTAAATGAATGGACAAGGCTGTATTCCAATAAAACTTTACTTACAAAAAGAGGCCAAGGGCCAGGCCGTAGTTTACTAATCTGAGAGAAGAGGTGATTATACCTATCCTTTAGAGTGGCATAAGGGTTAAATGAGGGCAAGCTTGGGGAGATTCTGGACCAGCATCTTCTTCCAGGAATTCTGATGTGCTATAAAAGCAGCACCCACTACCAAATCACAGGCTGGGTCATGCACGATTTGTTTAAAATACATAGTCTCATCTAATTATCATGCAATCTTATGGAACAATAGCTTGAGACTCAGAGGTAAATTGTCCCAGACACAGAGCTGAGCAGTAGGGCTGGGACTGGAGGCCTCTGATGCTTCCATTCTCACTGCTAGACCAAACTCCTTACGCTGCCTTCCCACAAGGACCTGTTCCACCAGGGGACACAATGGCCTTGTGTTCCCAAAGATGGTGTTTGCTGGTCTTTATGCCTAAACACAGACCTGGCCTGAGTCTGGCCTCCTGTCTGCTGAACTGGTACCTAGCCGAGCACCACCATGTAGCCACATTCCCTGATCGGGTGGCCCTGGGCGTCGTCTCCTCAGCCCTTTGATGCAAACCTGCTTCCTCTGCATGGCCTAGGCACCCAGCTGGTGGATAATTGAAGTTGGGTGCTTTCTTTTCACAGTGGCCACTGAGACCGAAGCTGACAGACTGACCACTCCCTCCAGGACAAGTAAGCAGAGGGGACTTCGAAAGAGGACAGCATGAACTCTAGGGGAGAAATGTCATCTAAATATTTGTGTCCAGTGCTGGTGACCACTTCTCGACAGGGTCTGGAGGAAGCATTATTATATGCATTTTATAGAACATGTAGGAATCAGGCTTATGAAGAATAAAAGTTCTAAGTCATCAGAAAGTAATTTGTTGGACTGGTCTCTAGGCCCAGACTATAGGCTTCAAGACTATGTCCTTTCTGTTATATTAATACAACAGTGACTCATGGATAACTCCAACTTACCTAAAAATATCTTGACCATCAGTGTAAGTAGCCTAACCATTTACTCTGCTCATGGTGATTAACAACCATTGATCTTTTATTAATAAGTATAAATAACTGATAATTACATACTAATTACTAAGAATGAATAAGAAAGTAAATGTATTCTTTGGTTAAGGGGCAGTGACATTATTAGGAGCCTCGGATGATGTGCCAGTGTATCCCTAAGCCTCTTACACATGTTCTCTGAGTTAGTCCTCCCTGGTCTTAGGAGGTCTGTTATCATCCCCATTTTATAAATGAAAAGAAGCTCCAAGAGGTAAAGTCATCTGCCCAGGGCAGGCAGCTTAGCAGTCCTTTTACTTCTGAGTCTGTAGGTTTTACTTTTAAAGAGAACAATCTGTCCCGGTTGAAAAGGTCTAGATTCTCTCTTTGATACAGGCTTTGTGTCCATATCAGTAAAGTTCAAAGTCTGGTTTCCATATAACACTATCATAGTCTTGATCTTTGAGCACATTAAACTTAAGGCAGTTCCTTTCGTTCCTAGAAGTTTTTCAGTTACCACCCCTGGTACAGCCGGGAGTGAGACAGTAGCCCAACCTAGGGGCTACGAGTGTCACCTTCAGCCAGGCTGCTGGGGTTGGCAGCCTGCTACTTCCTAGCTCTGTGACCTTGAACCAGTGACCTAACTTTTCTGTGTGTCTCCTTTCTCATTTCTGAATCAGGGCGAGCACAGTGCTAACTCATGGGCTTACGATAAAATGGGTTAATACAAGAAAGCCCTTGGCATGTGGAGGAGCTTAATAGCCATTGAACAACAACAACAAACTCATTTTGCAGAGAAACTGAGGCTCAGCGGTTTCCCTGGAGTCACACAGCAAACAACTTCAACCACACACCTCTACTGTCTCTCTACTCCATACTCCTCTGTTCAAAATGTGATTTTCTTTTAGTTGTTTTCTCCTCCAAATTTTAGAGAGGCTGGCATTCCAAAAGTATTTCAACAAACTCACCTGCTTTCAGCTTGACAAGCTACAGCTGCATTTGCGAGCAAGCCTGTATCTGGGGGTCCCCTTAGGCTCAGCAGTGACCCTGATATCACTAGGTCTCCTAGAACATCTCACGGTGGGAGGCAGGCCAGGGCAGAGTGAGGAGCGTGTGGCTCTTGTGCCCATGGAGGCGTCTCTGGAAACCAAGATGGCACCAGCTGGGGTTCACACTCACCCTGTCTCTCTTCTCTTGGGGGCAGAACGAGGCCAAGATCAGGAAGGCGTGGAAGCTGCTAGGACCACATCCCCTCCAGGTGAGCACACTCGGCTCCTCCTGCCCATCTATGCATACATATATCACTGTCCCCAATATGTTTATGAAATTATGTGTCATGTGAGTTTCACATGAGGGGGCCAAACCCAAAATGGAAGAAATCATTGACGCCAATTGACTTTTCCATCCCCCCCTCAACAAAAAAGTACACAAATGAAGTTAAAAGGTAGAGCCATTTGCAGGAAGAAATGGAAATTTATCTGGTAAAAAGATGAGTTTAGAAAAATGCAGAAAACTACATTTAGTTTTCTATTTAAGTTACTTGTAATTCCACAATATAAAGAGAGGCACTATTAATATTTGAAGCTATTTCTTCTAAGCACATCATCGCTAAGCACATCCATAAATATAAAAAAATGAATTTGAGAACACTTCTTAGCCCTGGCTTTGTGGTCTGAGTTGTATCATTAATACAAACTGATGCTCTTCCCCTAACATTAGATACTTTTCTGGATAATGATTTTTAGTGGATATATAATAATTCCTTATATCAAAACATAATTTATTTAGCCAATTATTTCTAACATTTTGTTATTATAAATAATAGATATGTGCTTTCTTCATTCCCATCGACTTCTGATCAGTTTGTTGGGATAAAAGCCTAAAAGTTGAAATTACTAGATAAAGGGCATAATCATTTTAGAGTTTTTAGGACGTTGCCAAATTGGCCTTGAGAAAAATTGAACCAATTTACTTTCATACATGTATTCTGGTTGCCAATTCTGGGGCACTATTATTTTAAAAGAAGCAGACCAACAAACAAAAACCTCTATCAATTTTATTATAAAAACCGTATCTTTTTTTCTACCCTATGATGAAAATTGAAAGTGGTGTTTTAGTACCCAAACCAGGCCAACTCCCCGTTCTGGGACTTGTTGGTCAAATCCAAACAGAATTCCCAGATCTTAAGTCAATCCACAGAGGTGTGTAACTGATGTCAGAGCTAAGGTTGTTGTGATTTGGGCCGACTTTGCTCTGAGAGGCACCGTGACCCTCTCAGCATAGGAGACAACAGGGCCAAGAATCAGAGGAATTTATTCCCCAAATGGGGCTGCAGCTGGTCTAGGAAGGGTGATTAATGGCAAATGTCCTCATCCAGAGGGAGTGAGGGGGATCTTAAATTTGACTAGCACTGAAAATCCAGAAAGTTCTTCCTCAGGAGGTGAGGGCTACTGGCCACTCAGACTCAGCAGGGAGAACACACTGCACTCTGGTTTTTTTAGCTTCTGCTTGCAGAGAGCTCCCCGCCTGCAGAGTCCTAAGCCTAGATCAGAGGTATGGATTTTTGCCCATTACTGAGCAGTTCTAACAGCTACTATTGACTATTTCTTAATTGCTAGGCACTTAGCTGGAAGGATTATTCAAATACCAAAAGAAGTATTATTAATATAATTTTATAAACGAGAAATTAAAGTTTAGAGAGGCTAAGTGATTTGCCCAAGGTTATACATCAGGTATGTTGCTAAGTTAAAATTCAAACTCATATCTCTTCAACTCTAACTCTTTCTGACTTGGTGAGTTTCTAGCAGTCAGGAACATGCTAGAAAGAAACTAGTTAACTGGTTTCTATTTGTGGCATTGGAGAACTGAGCAGGATGCTAAATCTAGGAGACTGGGGTTACAACAGGGCTTTAGCCCCGTAGGAACTAGAGTGTTGAACAAGACCAGATGCATGAAGCAAACCAATATGGCGGTTCTGGGGCAAGGCTGCAATTCAGCGGGTACCAAGATGCTAGACTTAGCGAGCACTCTGGAGATAATGGGGACTAAGCCTGGGTCAGCAGGTTGGTGGGGCTGAGCCTGCTGGGGTTCCCTTGACCTGGACCAGACTGGGCTGGAGATTTGGCCTGTCTGCCTCCAACAATGAGGGCAGGTGGGACTGACACACCAGAGCAAAGGGAGATCCAGAAAGATGGTAAGAGATGAGAGGGAGGCAGGGCACGCTGTGGGCAAGCCTTGCAGGCTGCAGGAAGGACCTTGTACCTAATTCTGAATATGAGAAACTGTTGCAGCCTTTGATCAAGGAAACAGAGGGCTTTGAGGAAGAGTTTCACTTGCTTACATTGTCATATACCACAAGTTGGTGTGATTTCTCCACCATTCTCTTTACCTCTTTGCTTGCTGTGAGTGCCATGACAGACCTTCCCTGGGCAGCAACATATAGCAAACACAGGCCTGGCAGGCCAGGACAGTTTTCATGCATGAGATGCCACCCAGGTGGTCTAGCACAGGCTCCTGTCAGTGTTAGGGTTATCATAGAAAATTTAGAAATTCTCATGTAGAATCCACGGATCCCTGAGAATCCACCTTGATGTCTGCAAGCCCAGGTGGAGGAACACTCTCCTTGTGCTTTGGCATTCTGAGGTATCTGTGTGCATTTGGGCTTGACCATGTGTCCATTCGTAAATCTCTCCTTGAGCCACTTTTCAAAAATCTGAACCATGAAGTTTTGTATTTTCAGGATCTGCAGAGATTGTTGCCGCAGCTGAAAGTGTAACCCTTGTCCCTGCTGGTGTTAAATCTGTGGGGCTGGCGGTGTCATCCGTTGAGAATGGTCCTGAGGAGACGACGGGCAAAGGTACACAGAGCAGGAAGCCAGAGAGGCATCTGTCCTCTCTGTCCCTGGGGTCCTTTGGGTAGCTTGTTGACAAAGCACCTTAGGCCACCCTTTCATGTGAACTTCTCATGTTGGTGTGACTAGAAGGTCTCATCTCCCTTAGTGGGTGAGCACATGGAGGCTCAGAGGGGACGTGATCTGCCTGAAGCCACCAAGCTGCTGTGTAGCTGAGTCTGGGAGAGAAACCAGGTCTCCAAGCCCCTGACCATGTGCTCTTTCACTGGCCCAGAGGAGAGAGTTTGGCATCGCCACACCATGGTTTACTGGAATGACTGAAGCACTTGGGTTTTAATAACCCTCCCCCTTTGTCTCTCCCCGCTCTGATGATGCCTTACCAAAGGGCCTGCACCTGCAAGGAGCCACGGCCAGCTGTACACAGAGGACTTTGGTAGTATCTGGGCATGGCCTCTGTGGTGCCCAACACAGAGCTATGAGGAAGTGGGGCAGGGTGGAGGGGGAGAGAGAGGGAGTGAGAGGGAGCAGAGAATGAAACCCAAGGGCTCTGAAAGGCAAGCCCTGCCAGGTGTGCTAACCTGATGCAGCAGAAAGCCTAAGAGGATGACCAGGACTCCCCCAGGGTGCCAGGCAAAATGTGGCCCAAAGAGCATCTTTGGTCCTGAAAAGTCCCCATCCCTTAGGGAGATTTAATAAGGAGTCTGGTAGAGCATTAGAAGCCTGGCAAGAAAAGACTTGCTCCTGGAAAGACAATGTGTCCCAGACAGGGGATGAGCCAGAATGCGGCTTTTCCAGAAGGATGGCCGTCCAAGGTGTAGGGCAAGGTATGGGTTTCCTCGCACAGCCCCGAGTTGTCCTCATACAACCCGGAAGCTCACATGGCCTTCCGGGCCCTGACGGTGAAGGCTGTCCTGACGGTGCGTGCTCTCCTGAGAGCCCCTCTTCCTAACTAGCCTGTGACAGATTCACCTTCCTGCACCTGGGACGTGGGGACAGCACGCAGGTGATGCCGCAGCTTGGAGAGATGCTCTTTTGTCTGACGTCCCGGTGCCCAGAGGAGTTTGAATCTTACGGTTGTTACTGTGGGCAGGAAGGAAGAGGCCAGCCGAGGGACGCCCTGGACAGGTACGGATGGGCGGAGGCGGTGGGTGGTGGTGCTGGTGCCGCGTGCACCAGTGAGAAATACTGACCCCCTTCTAAGTCGGCAGGCGCTTTAGACTTCACCAAGAGCTCGGTGCGTGCGTTATCTCACTCAGGGTGGCTCTTTCGCATGACAGGCCCATTTTCCTGATGAACAGCTGACTTGTCCTGAGATCATTCATCTAGGAACAGGCAGAGCCACACAGATCCAGATCTTTTGACTTAGGGGTTTAGAGCCCTTTCCGCATTTCCACAAGTACCACCCATCTGCCCTAAAAGGGCCCTTCTGCAAAGATCAACACATAGAATTGGAGTTTCCACTTGGTTTGCCCTGCAGAAGGCCACTTTGAAATTAGCTTCTCAACAACTTTGAAGTATAACTGCTAAATTTTGTATCTACCACTCTTGGAAGAATTTTCACTGACCTCATGCATTCATTAATTTATTTATTCATTTTATATGTGCATTTAAACCACACTGCAGGCGCTTTTGCTTTCTACCAGGCACTAGGCTACGTGGTGGAAAATACAAAAATGATTAAACTGAACAAAGCAGAACAAAACAAACTGCTTATGACTAACAGGAGCTCAAATAGTGAATGAGATGGACTATTAAACAAAAATACTAACCAATGTAATAATAAATGCAGTAGTGGAAACAGAATAAGCTATTTAGGACTCCATCTGAGTTGATGAGGTTTATAGGGTGGCTGCACATGAGGGTCGCATCGGTCTGGGGCCAGTGGAGAGGTCTGCGTGCCAAAGTCGTTTGACCTTGCTGGATGGTATGGTTGCCAAAGCAAAACCAACAACTTTAGATGAATTTAAAAAAAGAAAAAGGCAAAGCATGTTGTAGCTAATAGAAAGGACGCAGTAAATGTCAGGAACATGGAGCATGTCAGTTGCAGGTCAGATTATGCCTGGGGGGCTGCATTTCTCACCCACCCACTTTCTCTCTCCTGCCAGCTGCCTCCCAGTCATCCGGCTCCCCTTATCTGGCCTCCCCTGGCCTTTCCAGGAAGGAAATTTAGGCTCTGCTGCACAGATGACCCTCCTCTTACCTCCTACCAGCTGACCCTAAGGCAGTTTTTACTCTTGCAAAGGTTATGTCACACCATGACTCATGAGCATGTTTGCCTTCTGAGGTTGCACCATATGCCCTCCGCTCTCCAGGACAGAGAATCATTTCCCCACTGTCAAGATTTCTGAGTCCATAGCACTCAGTGAGATACGGCAAAAGATAGGAATCTAGCCAACAGCATTCTCTGTGTTCTGTTGAACCCCTTAGAAAGAAAGTGGAGATGATTTTGAAGGTGTTTTCTGACAACCAACCATATTTTACAAAAACACAAAATTTGGTCAGGTAAGTAAGTTATGATATGGCTTACCTGAGAGCTGTAGGAAGAAACTGAAAAACTGAAAGCCATAGGAAGAAAACCCTTGACTAAGGAAGGTTTAGTCAAAGTGATACCATTTTCTACAAGGATATATTTTTAAAACCATGTGTACTGTACATTATGGGCAACTAAAGTGATTTTTAAGAGTATTTTGGTCATGTATTATTTCCAATTCACTCACTGACTTTAGATTTTAGCTATCATGTCAGTGATCTCCTTGCCTTATGCCAATGTGAGCCTGAGAGCTGGATGGCTCCTCTGATTGCTGGCAAAGTGGGAAGGCAGGTAAAGCTGACACTTGGCCCAGGACAAGTGCTGTTGGAAAGCCACAAAATCTATGACTGATCCCTACTCGGCTGTAGTCTCCAGCACAGAGTGGGACTCCCTGAAGGACAGGGAAGAGTTGAAAAGGTAGGATTTAGGGAGCCACTGCAGCATCCTATGGGCTGGAGCCATCGCACGTTTCCTAAGGATGTCCATCTGGCCGAGGGGACCCCACGGGGGCTATATTAGGCCAGAGGGGCAGGTCCGAAAAGCAAGACATTGGCTCATTCTCATATATTACTGAGGTCCTGCTCGATGCTGGACACTTTCTACATACAGTCCTTTATGCTCAGGACAGTTACTCCACTTTCTTTTAAGGCTGGGGACAAATGAGAGTGCCCTGTGGTTGTGGAATTCACTGTTCTATGTGAGAGGTTGGAAGGGGTGGGGTCACTGCCCATATGGTGCTTTTGTGTAAGTTTTAAAAAGGTGCCCCTTACTCAAGACTCTTTCTCTCCATCTGTTGGGAAATAGTTGCAATAAATATGCAAATCATCCAGCTTTGCTATCAATAGTCACAATAAACATACAAAAAAATTTTTTTTAAAAATAATAAGATGCATACAGTGTGATTGACACTGCCCTGGATGGGGCGTCTTTGTGCAGTACACAACCTGAACAACGATACACAATGGCCCTTGACGTGTGCATGAGCCAGCTCTATGTGCACGGGAAAGGAGGCACTGGCTTCTCTCACTACTGCAGGGAGTGTGGAAGAAACCAGGCCCTGAGGGCGTTCCTGGGCAGCTGAGAGCGCTGCACAGTAAAGGGTTTTCCTTGGTTTTAGGTGCTGTCTGTCCCATCGCTGCTGCCTGGAGCAGGTGAGAAGGCTGGGCTGCCTGCTCGGGAAGCTTCCTCAGTCGCCGGTGGTGTGTGTGGATCGCACACCCAAGTGTAAGTGCTGTCAGTCTGCACAGTGGGTGATTATTTCCTTCAGGTCAGCATCATCGCATAGCTCGGGCTGATAGATCCTTTCCCAGGCACTTCTTCATCCATAATGTGGTTTAATGCTCTTCTCAACGTTGAGGCACATGGCACTACACCTCTCGAACTGATGAGGAGATGCAAGTTCTAGAGGCTGAGTTGCCCGAAGTCACAAAAGCTAGTTAAGAGCGGGCTGGAAATAATGTAAGTAACCCATGCTCATTGAGCACCTACTGTGTGCTGTTCTCGGCTCTCGGTGTGTGTTAACACAGTTCGTCTTCACAACAATCCCATCAGGTCGCACTGTTATTCTTCCCACCTTACAGAGGGGACAACCGAGGCCCCAGATCACACAGCTAGAAATAAGTGGCAGAACTGGGATTTGGACTGTAAACCACATAGCCTCAGACCTAAAGGCGCTTCACTATACCAGTGGGTTTCAAAGTACTTTCTTTTTTTAAGAAACAGAACCCTTTTCCCAAGTGAGATCCCCTAAAAAATGGGAGTGGCTCTGGCTGAAGAGCAAGGTGGCCTACAGCTACCCCTGCAATAGCCCCAACACGCCCCCCTCCAGTGTAGAAGCCGGTGGCTCCTCTGTTGGCCGCTCAGGGCCTCAGGCGGGGACCAGTCTGAAAACTGGCAAAGCCAGGAGCATCCGCCCTGACAGCACACAGAGACTTGCTTTAGATCTCTCTCCTTTCTCTGCATTCTCTAGCTCCATTTCCTCATTCACATCAGTGGATGCACTTCCCTTTATGCTTTGCAGTTTAAAAGGAAATGCTTCCCCTAGAATTTCACAAGTGCTCTGCAAGGGCTTGTTCTCATCCTCATTTTTGCCCGAGGAAGCCACTGGCTGGACCCGCACCCTCCTCCTTCCTCTACACAGAGCATGCACCTCCTTATCAACTGGCTGTGGACGATCACATGTGGCTGCCACATCCTGGGAGCTGTGTGCTTACATGTCACTTCCTCCCTCCCTCATGTATTCATTCATTTATTCAATTATCCACCTATCTAACAAACCTTCATTGGAACCCAGGAAAACAATAACCCTGCATGATTCTTGCTTCACATTGCTCACAGCCTGGAAGGAAGGGAGACAGGCAAGCCACTATTCTAATCTCACGTAGTATGTGCCAACAAGTAGTACAGGTTCCTTGGGAGCGTGGGCAAAGGGGTTTTGAGTCTGCAGTAGGGCAGTAAGAGCGGGAGAATTTGGGAGAAGTCAGAAGAAGTATGAAGAGATCTGGCAAGTGGTTAACAGGTTCACAGATGACCTGATGTTCCAGGCAAAGGGAAAAGAGATAAATGATGGGGTTTGGGGCATGTCTGGCAGTTTAGGAACAACACACGGCTCTGTACTGCTGGAAAGTGGCAGTGAGGGTCTGGTTGTGGTGTAGGTTGGGAGACAAGGAGGTACCAGATCATGAACCCAAAGGACCTGTGTGCAAGACTGAAGCATTTTCATTTTGTCCTCCAGGGGATGGGGAGCCAGGGGAGGGCTTAGAGCCCACGAGTGGCAAGATCAGAATATAATTGTTGTCATATGACATGATCATGGTTCAAGGTCTCACCTGCTTGGCTGAAGGCTGGTTCTCCATTCCCCCAATATCACTGAATCTGAGAACACTGCATCTGTAGCTTGAACTCCTGCGGAGCTTCGGTGAACCATTTCTGATCCCTCCGTGAGCTGTGAGCCCAGGGTCCTGTTCCTGAGGCCAGGTGCTGCTTAGTGAGAAATGAGGGCATCTCAGAGGCTGGTCTGTGTTGTCCTGATCCCAAGCACAGGGATCAGAAAGGACGTAGCTGCCCCAGGGCACAGGGCCACTGGCTGTCACCAACTTGCTATTGCACCTCTGTGCATCTCTCCCATTCTCTTCCTGCTTCCTGCTGCTGAAACATAGCCGGCATGTCTGGGGCTGACGTGGAGGCCAGTGTGGGAGGTTTGGAGGGTGGGTCTGTGTGGTGCATGATGAGAAAAAAAATCTGGCTGATGAACACTTCAAAGTAGGATTAGATGAAACCGCCCCCACCCCAAGCCAAAAAACACCCAGACCTTTAGCTTCATTGAAAACTACAAATAACAAGGGTAATATTTGCAGAAAGCCAACTATGTCTAGCACCTTTAAACACATTATTCTATTTGAATCACACTCCTACCCCTGCATGCAACTCATACATTAAAAAAAATAAGCTAGGTTTGCCAGATTTGGCAAGTAAAAGTACATGATGCCCAGTTAAATCTGAATCTCAGATAAACAATGAATAACTATAAATATGTCCTAAATGACATACTTTCAGACATACCATCTGAAATTCAGATTTAACTGGCAATCCTGTATTTTATTCTGGCAATATTCAAATAAGATGTACAAGAACTTCCATTTGATTAATGGGGAAATACAGGCCCAGAGAAGGAAGAAGTAACAGATCAGTCCATGTGTGTTTCCTGAGTGCTAACTTGGAAATATTTGTCCAGGATTGAGTTGGGTGCTCGGCCACGTGGGCTCTGCCATAAGGTTGTCTGTCCAGTAAGAGGAACAATGGAAACATAGACAATGACCATATGGACTAATTAACATGTAACCTGTGGTGACAGAAAGAACCCTGGGGTGGGATCCAATGGGAGCCTGCAGGGAAAACACTCGTTTAATCTGGGGGCTCGGGGAGCTTTCTAGAGGAGGGGAGGCCAAGTTGGTCTGGACAGACAAGGGAGAGGTAACCAGGAGGAGAAAGGTGAGAAGAGAAAATTGATAACATTCCCTGCAGAGGGATCATTAGCAGCAGGAGACAGTTGAGATATTAGTGGCAATCAGAGTGTACGACGGGTGCCAAGAGGGGTGTGCGGAAGATGGGCTGGAAGGGGCAGGGCCACAGGGGCAGCCATCCTGTGAGGCCTTACGTCTGCTACTCTGCTCTTGCCCTCAAAGGTGGGGGGCAGAGCCTGTGCCAGAAGCTGCTCTGTGCCTGTGACCGGACGGCAGCTGAGTGCATGGCCTCCGCCTCCTTTAATGAAAGCCTCAAGTCCCCAGCTGGAAAAGAGTGCCCCGGGGGACCGGCGGCCTGCGAGAACAGCCTGAGCCCAGAGTCCTCAGCCCCTTCCCTGGGCTCCAGCTCCGAGGAGAACAGTGAGGAGGCCCCGCCCCACACGGAGGGCCACAGAAGAGACAGAAGATTTCTGCAGAAGTCACTTGGTCCCTTAGGGATCAGGCCCCTCTGTGGAAGATAGAATCCCAAGGCCAATGCTAGGATGCCCAGTACAAGTTCACCTGGTAGTTTGGCTCCTGCTCCACCTTAGCCTCCTTGGCCCTCAGCCTCCTCTGTTGGCTGGAGCCCTTAGCAGAGGCTTGGAGGGAATAGAGGCAGGAGACCCTCGTCCATGTGCACTGTCACCTGTGGGTCAGCTCAGTGCCAGTGTGGTTTTAAAGAAGGCAGACCACGGGTACTTCAGTACTTCCTGTAGTGTACCATGGAAGCTCAATAAATATTCCAATCAGCGTGATTTGCTTGTTTTCTTTTTCAAAACATTAGATTGAGATACTGATACATGAGCATCATGTAGTAGATACTTGAGTGGATTATGAAGATGAGAGGACAGAGAAAATGAACAAAAAAATCTCAACTCTCTAATCAATGAAAGATACTTTTGCTTTTATGGAAAAAAAAAATAGAAGTATGTTTATTTAATCAGTCTTATGGGATCACCTATGGGTTATAAATAACCCACCAATGATTCATGCCAATGACTGAGATGACAGCTCTTTAGGTTTGTGCCCTAAAAATACACGTGGCCTCCTGGTTGTTAAGAGAGTGGACATGTGCCACAGCCACCAGCACGAGGCATCACTGATCACCTTGTCCTGGGTCCTAGCCTTGATTTTTAAAAAATTGAGTTTATCTCATTGGCTGGAAGTTCAGGAAATGCAAATGCCCACTCCGACTCTTGCTATTTAATATTATGGTGATTGTAAAAAACTTGAATTCCATTTATCCATCCACCTACCCAATAGTTACTGAGATTTTGCAGTGCACCAGGCAAAAAGCAATATGCTACCAGAACCCCCCTACATATTTGATGGAGATACAAACCCTTTGGTTAACATCATGTTTTGGGGTCTCAAGCCCCATACATCATGTATCCTCTGGTGAGATTATATTGAGTTTCTGCCTGCCCCTGCTTTCTGACAGATCAGAAAGCAGAGCTTCTAAAGAATTCTGTGTTTGCTGACTTCTTCATGCAATGAAAATATTCTGAAGTTGGCAACACCTTAAGAAATCAAAAAGTCATGGTGCCAAAGCAATAGCTGATATCCTTCTATGGAAATCATGTAGTGAATATCTTTTGATGAATCCAACACATTGGATAGGAGTCCAATTTCATATTTTTTTTTTTTTTGCATGTGGATATCCAGTTTTCCAAATACCATTTATTGAAGAGACTGTCCTTTCCCCATTGTGTACTCCTAGCTGACCGTTAATGTGTGCATTCATTTCTGGGCTCTCTATTCTGTTCCACTGGTCTCTGTGTCTGTTTTTATGCTAGACCATACTGTTTTGATTACTATGGCTTTGTAATATAATTTGAAGTCAGGAAATGTGACACATTTATCTTTGTTCTTCTAGCTCTAGATTGTTTTGGCTATCTGGGGCCTTTGTGCTTCCATATAAATTTTAGGATTGTTTTTTTTTCTATTTCTGTAACAATGCCATTGGGATGGCACTGAATCTGTAGATAACTTTGGATGGTATGGACATTTTAACAATATTAATTCTTCTAATCCATGAAAAGTGTCTTTCCACTTCCTTGTGTCTTTTTTAGCCTCCTTCATCAACATCTTATAATTTTCATTATATAGGTCTTTTACCTTTTTAGTTAATTCCTAAGTATTTTAATTTTTGTTGTTAATGTAAATGGGATTGTTTTCTTAATTTCTCTTTAGGATAGTTTGTTGTGTGGGATGTACTAAAGGAAATGTACTAAAGGTTGTTAAGGGGGATTAGTTTATGTGATTAGGCCACCTGGGTTTGTTATTTGGTGCATATCTGGAGGAAAAATAAACATCTCATATCTGTAGGACAGGAGGTAGCTTCACACATTGGAGCAAGGCATCCACCTAAATTAGGCTCTCTCCCTCTCACAGGAACCGGGACACAGGAGAGCTAGGTCCCTGGGTAAACATTTGCCTGCTAAAGAGATGGCTCCCAGGTACTGAAGGAGACATTTCTGGGTGGTAGAAGATTTACATCTCGAAGAGGAAAGGAAAGGATTTATAGTTGCAATCTTGCTAAAGTAAATGCTCTAAGAAAAGTGAGGTCAGAGGCCTAAACTCAGGTTTTGGCTGAAACAAAGAGTAATCTTTTGTCATCATTGAGCATAAGAGGGCTGGAGTCACCATCCCAAGGATATAGCCAGAGGTGTTAGAAACTATGCTAGTGTTTGTTCAAGCCTCTCAATGTCTGTGGTGGACAAAATTGTCTCTGCTGGGAGTTACAGTTCTCGCAGGCCAAGGCTGAGGCTAGTTGAGAAGAGGGTTCAGAGGAGCCTGACTAAAATTTGGTCAAGGAGAGTCTTTGTCATCATTCTCTTCGTCTCTCTCTTCCTACAGCCCACTGATGACCGCCATGTTTATAGCTCAAACTCAGGCCATTTCTATGACTCCAATTTCATATATCTAAATAGTCACTTGAATCTTCACTTGATAGTCTTTAGGCATCTGAAAGTTAACTTGGCCAGGACAAACCCCTTGATTCCCAGCCTCATGTATCCTATCCCACTGTGATCTTGCTCTTTCCTCACTCTTCCTGCTTAGACAATAACACAGCCAGTCACCAAACTTGCTCTTGCCCCAAATTTAGGCAGCAACCTTGACTTTTCCTTCTATCTTCCCAATCCAATGCATCAACAAACTCTCTTGGCTCTATCTCCCTGGGTCTACATTTCACCAGCAATGTCCAGCTGCTCAGGTGCTGACCATGCAGCTGCTCAGTTGCTGACCATGCAGTAGGCTCATATTCCTGCAGAGTCCTACCAGGGAGAGTGGTATGTGGCATAGATAGCCTTTATGACAGTCTTTCAGAGGGATATCAAATAATCATACAGCTTGTAATGAAGTGGTAGTTTGACTTCTATTTACAGTAGTCCTCCTTATCCATATTTTGCTCTCCGTGGCTTTAGTTACCCATGGCCAATTACAGTCTGAAAAATATTAAATGGAATATTCCAGAAATAAACAATTTATAACTTCCAAATCATGTGTTCTCAGTAGCATGATGAAATCTTCTGCCATCCCACTCTGCCCCACCCAAGACATGGATCGCTCTTTTGTCCACTGTATCCACTCCGTAGACACTACCTGCTCATTAGTCACTTAGTAACCATCTCAGCTTTCAGATTGATTGTCATGGTATGGCAGCACTCATGTTTTACTTCATAATGGCCCAAAGAGCAAGAGTAGTAATGCTGGTATATTGTTACTTCACAGACTAGAGGGGACTATACTTCTGTTTCTTGTTAATAGCTTCTCAAGAGTTTCACTCTGGTTGGGTGACTGGGCAAGGAAAGGCAGGATTCACGCATTCTAGATACCAGATAATAGTACCATCTTATAAAGAAAACTCTCCCATTATCCAAAGTGAGGCGACACAAGATCGGAAGAATGGGCTCCACATGTACTTGCCATCAAATAGGTACTGACTGATAAATACTATGGTGCTCAAAGGGTGGTGGTGTTCACCAGGGATCAGGGGCTTGGGTGGGGGGTAGACTCACAACTGAGGGATGCGGTGAGCACTGTGGAGGGGAAGAGCAAACCTCTAATCCTTCCTAGGGAGAAGCAAAGATATGAAATGCAACCAAAATGTTTGTACTCTCATATTTTCCTGAAAAAACAATTCTGAGTTTATGCTTAACACACTGTAGGGGAGGTTCAGGTTCTGAAGGACCTTGAGCATCTTGGCTAAGGAGCAGGCGTATTAGGTTTCTCTCCCACCCCCATACAGTAGAGAACCATTAAAGATTTTTAAGCAGAAGTAACGACCATGTATTTTAAGAGATGACTCTGACAGCGCTTAACTGAATCTAAACTTAAAAGTCCTGTGCTGTCTCCCCATTCCCAGCTGCGTGTCTTGGAACCAGCACAGATTTCTATCCTGCTTAGTTTTTCCTTCTTGAATCACCACTGCGCATTTCACTTCCCTTCCCTAGGGCCCATCTTGCTGGTTGCAGAGCATAGGGGATGGCCCCATTCTGCTCCAGGCGGGTCAGAGTGAGTGGGGTTAGACCTGATGAATTCTAAGGAATCTTCCAGTTCTGACATGTTATGACTCAGTAAAAATACTCCTTACATCACAACTACATTGTGGACTGAATCATAAAAAGCTAGAGCTGGAAGGGAATTTAAAGACAGTACTTTCCCAGAGGTTACAGAATTCTGATAGCAATCCCTCCTCCCATAGTATAAACCAATAAGGGGTGGAGAGAAATAAAGATTTTTCTTCCACTTTTAGTTCACATGCTTTCTAGTACATTTTCAGGTTTCAAATCCATGTCTTAGAAAATAGTTTGAAAAACAGAGTGGGGAAATACATCAAGTAGCTCCTCCTACTTCCTGGTATCTTTTTTGTTGGTCCCTTTCACAGGCCCTCTTTCTAACTTTTGTGTTCCTAGGTATCTGTTTGGGGCCAGGAGCTCTTTGCAAGTCACACACTCCCTCTTCCCTGGGACACACCCATTCATTTTCAGTTTCAATTATCATTAATATGCCTTTGACTTCCGAATTAATATCCAGTCTCTGAATTTTTGGCCTGAATATTCAACTTTTCACTAATGTTACTTGGATGCCCCACAGGCACCTTAAATTCAACACATCCCAAATGGGACTCATGTTTAGAGTCACTTCCTCCGGAAGCAGAAAGGCTAGCATTAGATGATGGAAATCCCACAATGATGGGCTAAGAAGTTTGAGTTTTATTTTGTAAAAAATACTAATGGGAAAGTCTGAGAAGCATTTGAAGCAGTATTTCCTACACTTCAAAAAGATCAATCTGGCAGCAAAATAAAAAATAAATGGTATAGAGCACAGACTAGAGACAAGAGGCTTAGTGCTGCCTATTTCAATTAAGAGGTAACTATAAAACAATAAAAAGACAAATCATCCCATTAAAATGGGTAAAAGATTTAGAACAGATATGTCTCCAAGGAAGATATACTAATGGCCAGTAAGCACATGGAAAGATGCTCAGCGTCATTAGTTACCAGGGAAATGCAAATCAAATCAACAATCTTCACGATGACTAGGATGACTATAATAAAAAAGACAGACAAAAAGTTGGCAAGGGTATGCAGAAAACGGAAACCTCATACACTGCTGGTGGGAAATGGTGCATTCACTTTGGAAAAGACTTTGGCAGTTCCTCAAAAAGTTAAATACAGAGCTACTACATAACCCAGCATTTCCACTCTTAAGTATATATGCAAGAAAAACAAAAACATATGTCCACACAACAAACTTGTACATCAATATTCATCACAGCATTAGTTATAACAGACAAAAGTGAAAACAAACATGTTCATTAACGCATGAATGGATAAATAAAATGTGGCATATCCACACAATGGAATATTTCTTGGCTATGAAAGGTAAAAAAGTTTTGATAATGCCATAAAATAAAGCTTGAAAACATTATGCTAAGTCAATTAAGCCAGACACAAAAGACCATATATTGTAGGACTGCATTTATAGGAAATGTTCAGAATAAGCAAATCTATACATATAGAAAGCCAACCAACACTTGCCAGGGCGTGGGGTTTGGGGAGGGGGTGGGGTGGGGTGGGGTGGGAATCAGGAGTGACTGCTAGTGGGTATGTGGTTTCTTTGGGGATGATTTAAGTGTTCTGGAATTAGTGATTATCGATGCTTTGTGAATATACTTAAAAGCCACTGAATTGTACAATTTAGATGGGTGAACTTTATGCTATGTGAGTTATATCTCAATAAAGCTCTAATTTTAAAAAGGAGGCTACTGTGGATTGAGTTGGAGGTCCTGTATCCCTAATGTTCACTTTCTTTATTCATTTAGGAGATTTATAATTACATTTGAACTTATTTTTACATTTTATTATTAGAAGCATGGAATAGTATTCCTAATTTTCACATATGCTAAAGTTGATGTCATAATCAAATGTTTAATACATAGTCTGGAAACAGCTAGTGAATAAATGGTAACTGCACCAGCTTCAATCCTGTGTTTCTCATCTGTAAAATATAAGCTTTGAATGAACCTGGCTCTAAGATCCCTTCAGCGCTTCAGTTTTTTCAATAAGGAATTCTACAAGTAGAAAGCTGTAACCTTTTCACACAAGGTGGGATTAAGAAAAGCAAGAGGGCAGCAAAAGGAATGGTGCAGGATGTATTACAGCCAAAACCACTAAGATGGGAGAAATGTGAAACTATAAATCAGATGCTCCTAGATTTCATCTTGCTCTTAAATACCAGATGACATGGGGCTATCTTGGACATCTTTTGCCTGACTTCACATCCTCTAATCCCCACCTCTCTCTCTAGACCCCGCTGTGATAACTAGTTCCACACAGGCTCCAAATGCCTCAGGCAGGTGGAATGACAACGCCAGCCTTCTGCCCTGCTGAATTTACTTCAGTGTTCTGACAAAGGACTTCTCTGAGAATGAGTCACTGGACACCCTGGGAAACAGCTCAGCACTCAAGCACACAGTCCCAAAATGGGGGCAAGTTGTTAATGCCACAGGGTAACCCCTAACCATGAACAGAAGCCAAAGGATAAATGCTTTCCCTATTTTCATCCCCTGGGTGGACAGTTCTGAAATTATTTCATGAGACTCCCTAGAATATCTAGTAGGATGGGTCTCTAGGAACCTCCAGTGATGGCCAATTAAAAAATAAATCCTCTTATTGGCCTTTTCTCCTTCCATGTTGGATCACTTCCCAAAGTAATACCTGCACATAAGCCTTGTCTCGGGTTATGCTTTAAGGAAACCGAGGCTAAGAAAATGCCTTCCAAATAGTCTGCAAAGTAAAAGGCAACACTAAGAGACAGAGTTTGATGTCCCCCTTGTCTTTGCTTTTTTTTTGAACTTAGTACTTGGGATCAATAATTTATCAGATGAGAGAACAGGTAATAGGATGACAGCAAGTTGGAATTGGAAAGAAAGCTTATGAGATAGCATATCATAGAGTACTCATTTTGTACCCATGGAAACAGGTTCACAGATGAGGAATGACTAGCCTAAGACTACAAAGTCGAGAACCCTGCCCAGGTTCCTGTATCATGAACTCAAGGAGGATTATCATTAATAATAAACATTTATTAATAATCTTCTAAGTGGTTCACTTGCTTCTCACAGCTAACCCCAGACAGCAGAACTACGACATTTCTTTTCACAGATGAGGACTTTGTGGCTCAAAGTTCAGTCACTTGCCTAAAGCCACCCAGACAGGAAGTGGTGGGGTTCAATTTGAACCAGAGCCCAAGCTCCTTTTGCTACACTAATGAGGTTCCTGAACCCCATCAGGATATCATGTCCAGCTATACACATGGTAGATAAAACAAACCAGGGTGGCATAGGGTACTGAGATACTTTATGTAATTTATAGAGCCCGGAGGTAAGGCTGAAAATATAATCATTAAGACTGATACAGAGATGGCAACTGTGCTTTCACAAACACACACCATGAGCTGTACCTTAGCTGTTTCTTGTCATGACTAGCAGTTTTCATTCTAGTATGTCCAACATATGGGACTGAATCCACGTGGCCACTTTTTTTTTTTTACTAAAGCTCTTCATTTTAACTAAAGCAAATATTGAATAAGTTTAATTAAATACATGTAATAGCTATTATAAAAATGTACTTATACACAAGTAATTCAATTTTTGTTTTATTGCTTACATATGAATTGCACAGTGAATTTTTACATTTGAAAAAAATTACTTCATTACATTTAATACATATATCAGCATGAATAAGACAAATAGTTCCATTTTCAGACAGGAAGAAGAGAAACATTTTGGGTAGGGGGAGTTAATTGCTGGTAAAGTGTAATATTTTAAAAGATAATGAGTTCAGAAGTATTAAGGAAGTATGTGTGTGTGTGCGCACATGTGTATTCAGGTAAACTTCAATGACGATAAAACTCTATATGGGCAGTCACAGACAACACAAGTATAGAAGGAAAATTTAAATGTTAACTGTTCAATGTCAAGAAAAAAAGAATGATATGAATAACTGTATATAGCAAAAAGTGCAAGATTAACAATTTATTAAGAGTTTTCTGTATCTACAAAAATATAGCAGTACAGTGACCTTCAACAAATCCTAAACTTTCAGTATTTGAACTGGCTACAACACAGTATGCAGAACTAGGTCCTACAGAAAGGACCCTCTTTTGACATGGACGGGTTAGCCAGACAAGAGATCCATTTCTTGGGAATCTTTGTCAACAAGACCGGTTCAGTGATCCAGGATATACAGAAGTCTACTGTGATTTAAAACAAAAACAACAAAACCCCCACAAAACCCAAATCAAAGGTTTACAAGGACCAAGAGAAAGGTGTGATAAACATTAAGTGCAATAGTTTTCCTTTACATGCAATACATGCAGTTTTAAATCACTGAAAAACACGAAATTTTGTAGAGCAAAGTTTGTGTTTCACATGAGTGCAAATGAATATATATCTTCTTTTCTTATACTATTAAATTATATTTTTCCATACAAAAGCACACAGTGTTAATCTATAAAATGACATCCAAGTGGATGATGATTGTTTTTGCATGTCCCCCTGCTTAGATTTTTAAAAATGCACAAAAAATTAATAGCCTTCTTTAAAAATACAGAAGGATAAAAGGGAAATTAAAAAAAAAACAAACATAAAACTTGGCTTATTAACTGGTGAAGCGTTTTACCTGATCAAGAGGCAAAGTTCCAGTGACAGCTGGAACCAGTGCAATGGGGCCATTTAGTCCTACAGTGGTGACTCCACTGTCACTCTGAAAACAAGGTCTTTCTTATCTACGTTTAATAAACAGCCCAGTATGTTCTGGTATCATTTTATAGGTTTAAATGATTAGATACTTTTTCAAGATGTTACACTTTGGTTTAAATATTCAAAAGTCTTTGGGTATGCGTGTTTTGTTCTTATTTCCTTACTTTTTTGTTTCTACTAAGGATGCCCAAATAACCACAAATGCAAAGTTAAAACATACCATTCTTGACTGCAATTTTAAAAAAGCAAAACAAACAAACAAAAAAAACAAACCAGAAGCTGAAAACTCAATTGTTTTTTGAGCCACAATTTTTGATATGTATACAGTTTTATGTAAAAAGAAATTGAATTTGAAAATGTATAATTATAAACAGGTGATTTTATAAAAATGTCCTAAGATAATTTTCTAAGAGTCAATAAAGAGAGTTATTCATTTTACCATGTGATGGAATTCACTAAAATGTACATAACTTTGTAAGCCTGTAAGTACATGTGTAGAGTGAACCTGTGAGCTTGGTAAATGAAATCAAAAGCAGCTTAAATTGACAAACCTTAGCACACTTGATTGCTAAAACATAGGCCACTCTTTTCAAATGTAATATAACTAATTCATAACAGAGATACATAAAAGTTATGGTTCAAATCTTACAAATTAAAAAAGTCTATCTGGGGAATTTTTTTGACTATGAGGATCTAAAACTGCACAATATAAAAATGTAAATTAATGTGCTCTCAATAGAAATCAAAATGTACGGATTCCTCACAGGTGAACTAGTAGCTATTTTAAATGTCTTTTTTCCCCTATACTAAATATATATCTCATTTAATTCATGGAGCCACAGCAAAATACTACTATAATTTCAAAGCACAGCCTGTAAACTAATACATCTTATGATGTAAAAAATATTGCACAGTTCGGTTCTCCAAGAGTAAGCTCTATGCCTCTCAAGCAGAATGATCAAACTCTCGGTAGGAAACACATTATTACAAGAACTAGATGCTTTCAGGTATGGCAATTTTTAGGATCATATTGTAGGAATGCTATTCAATAGATGTCTTATTACTGTGAACAAGATGAGGAATGCCTATCACATGTTATTATAGTAAATGAACAGAGGGACACCTATCACAACTTATCCAATGCATGGGGACACAAAGCCATAGAATAGTTTTGCAGGCCCAGGATTAGGAATATATTTGAACATATCTGCTTTTGCAGAGAACCAAAACCAAAAGCAATGCTATTTCTAAGCAGTTGTGTTGATGTTTAAGAAATACAGTAGACACTTGAAACATTTTCAATTCTCTGAAGGCTTACTTTAAAAAAAAAAAAAATTACATTTGTGAAAAGTTTAAAATATACTGTTTAACAAGGGAATAAGATCAATATATATTCAACTTTAAAAGCCAATAGGAACCTCAAAGCAAATTAACATGGCATAAATCTATCTTCAAAAGTACTCTAAAATATATATAGCTCCAAAACTTCTAATATGATATGCCAAGCATTTGGTTTAAAGGTAGGTTCCATCATAATTTTCAAGAAGTATGTTAATATGCATTAAGTAAATCCTGAAAGCTCAGCTTGGCCTTAATTTTAAGAGTTTCAAATCCGATGCTGAGGTCTCCATGAGCCACTCAGTACACACAAAGATCTGGAAACTTCATCTCATAGACTGGGACAGATTGGTATTGGGCATGCCCAGAAGTAATGGTCAGTGTTCCTGATGGACTGGGAGGAGGACTGCGAAAGAAGAACAAGGCATTGTTAATAGGTGTATTTAAAAGCTGTTCATTTTACAGAGCATTCTATCTACTGTCTGAAAACGTCAAAGTTAAGACTCTTTAATTGCAGAAATCAGCACTGTGTAGTTGCTGGTCAGCTACAAGGCTGTTGTCAAATTTACTAGCATAAAATTGTTTATGATATTCCTTTATTACCTGTAGAGAGGTCCCTCTTTCATTTATGATATTGGTAATCAGTGTTCTCTTTTTTTTCCTTGATTACTTTTACTAGAGGCTTATCAATTTTATCAACTTTTTAAAAAATAAACTTTTTGCTTTGTTATTTTTTCCACTGTTTGGTTTCTATTTCATTGATTTTTGCTCTTCATTATTTCTTCTATCTACTTAATTGGGCTTTATGTTGTTCTTCGTTCTCTAATGTCTTACAGAAGTTATTAGTTCACTGCTTTTAGATCTTTCTTCTTTGTAAACATAAGCATATAAAGATATAAATTTCTTCCTGAGAACTGCTTACTGCATCCCATAAAATTCTGATGTGTGCTTTCAGTATAAAATGTTTTCTAATTCTTCCTGTTAATGCGTCTCTGATCTATGGGTTATTTATATGTCTTTTAATTTCCCAATATTTGAATTTTTTCTAGATATATTAATAATTATAATTTCTTGTATAGCCAAAGAACATATTCAACATGTTATCAGTCTCATGACATTTGCTTATACTTGTTGTATAGCCCTACATTAGTCTATTTTTGTGAATGTCTTATGTATACTTGAAAAGAATCTATATTCTGCAGTTTAGTACTGTATTCTCTAAAGGCTATTTAAATATGTTGAAACTGTTCAAATCTTCTATATTCCTTTCTGAATTTTCATTTTCTTGTTGGTTATGCGTTAATACTTTTATGAGAGAAAGGTTAAAAATTTCAATTATAATAATGCAAAGAAATAGGAAACTATAGTGATAATAAATAGGCACCCTCACATATTTTCTCCTAAACTAATTAACATATATATCTTTTCCTTTAAATCCTTGCACATGTGTACGTATATGTCTCTGTGTACATATTGTTTTAAGGGACTAGTGTACCATTTCTAATAACGGGGTCATCTGTGAAGCTATTTATTCTCACTCTGTTTTATTGCTTCTTTGCATTTCTTATAATATTTTTTTTACCATACTCAGATCACAGTAAATGAAAGAACAGTGGGGACTAAAGTATAATATTGTTTGTTTTGTTTCTTTTTGCTGAATACAAACGCTTTCTCTGTCTGATGGTTGGGTAAAGCAAATTAACAATAAGAAACATTATCAGACAGGAACTAAAAACTCTGCAGGCACACTGTGAAGTCTGCTCAGCTTCACTGTATCATGTAAACTAACCCAGGACTGCTACTTCCTAACTAGGTGACCTTGGGAAAGCTACATACTTGTAAAATGAGAATAGTCACTGCATTTTTTTAGGTCTATTGCAGATATTAAATAATGTACTTAGCACAGTGTCTAGAACAACATAAATGTTCAATAAATGTTAATATTAGCAATAAGTGTTCAATAAATGCTAAGTATGAGTAGTAGTTACAGTACCAAAAAGACAGAATTAGTTATAGTATTTATCCTAAAATATTAAATCCACATAGTTATGTTAGTGTGACTAAATATATAGCATTGGTGATCCCTGGCAACAATCCTTTTAAAAACGTGGTTTATGGATTTGAATTTTGATTTTGCCACTCACTAGCTGTCTGACCTTCAGCAAGTTACTTTACTTCTCTAAGCCTTGGTGTCTTCACCTGGAAAATGAAAAAAATTGCATCTACCTACTTTTCAGGGCTATGATGAGGATTAGCAGAAATAACAGATATAAACCCTACAGTATAAGATCAAGTACACAGTAAACATTTAGTATTACAACTAAGTAAATGCCCATACCCAGCAATTTTCTCTGAATCCCAGGTCTAGCACATTGCATATTTTAGTCTGATTCTCTGTCCTGAAATTTTGTAAATGAGTGATTCTTAATTTAAAGAGGGAAGTGCCTATAATAAGATGTGATACTGATAAAAATGTGCCTTGTGTATGAAAGCAGAAAAAAGGCTGAAATAAAAAGCAAGTAGACTAGAGCATTTTCCTGTCTCCTCCATTTATAAGATCTAGGGGTTGAGGCAAAACAGAATGAATCAATTTAAAGATATAAAAGATACAACTGATGCAGACAAAAATTCCAGAGGCATATATATCTGTGGCTCCTCTACTGGACCACCTTTCCCTAGGGCGATGTCCACAATGAAGTCAATATAATACTATGCAGGTCTTTCTTTAAGTGGAACCTAGAATGTGCCTCTCCCTCTTTCATGTGCTGCATTACTTAATAACAGACACGTGATAATCAAAGTATGTTAGACACCCTGTGTTTTGAAGCATAATAATTCATAACAGGACTCAAATGGATATGATGTAGGAAAGCTAAAGGAATTTTTAAGAATTCAAATGAGCCATCTGCATAGGTAGACTCACTACTATCATAAAAAGAACTAAGAGGCTGAAATGTAGTTTTTGTAGGTCATAACAGTTCAATAAATACAAGTAATTTTCTGGTTAAACTTAACGTTAGAATGTGGGACTTCCAAATTACCCACATGTCCTTATATGACCATTAGGAAAGATAAATGATCTAGAAAAGCTAGAAGACAACTGTACAAAACATGGTATCAGACTCCACCTAGTAAACAGAATGACTACTAAGACAAAGGGTCACCTATGTGATCTTGTGTTTATCCTAAATGAAAAGAACAATTACTTAAACATGATCAGCCACAAATTTACAGTAGTCTAATAGTTTCAATTTTGTTTCCGTTGTGTTACTGCTGTTGTAGTAACAAAACTCTTACCGTATGGTGAGTTCCAATATTTGAGCAAGTCTATCATGAAGCAAATTTGCCTGCAAACAAGGAAAAAAATGTTAATAAAGAATTATTTTCTAAATACCCATATGTAAACATACAAATGTTATTTAAAGGACAAAGCATAAGTGTAATTATAAAGCTGATGAACTATTAAGTACAGAATGCTTTAATGTTGTGGCTTGATCTGTCTCATTGGAATTTAATGTAAGGCTCCTCATTTTTTCCTTTCCTTGTCTCACTGCTAAAATCAAAGTGATAAACACACAAAATACCTGCAGCAAAATCACTGCAAAAAAAAGTATCAAAGCAACAACAATCATTAATATGGGTATCTGCCATTTCTATCAGCTTATATAACATAAAGAAATTATTTAGGTTTCACAGCTATGCCTTCAGAGTTTCCAGTCTCTATTACATTTCCTTCTGTTGAGTTGCCTAGAGCTTAGCTTGGCAACTCAAGCCAACTGATTAGTTGCCTACTAAAATCAATTACCAAGCAAGAGTTTCCATAAAACCATAGTCCTCCCCGACCCATCTTTACCATTTGTTCACTTACTTTGGATTCACACTGTGCTGCTATTTCTTCAAAAGGTGCTTTCTGAAATTTCTCTATCACAAGACGCCTCTTTTCCTTTTCTTGCTCTTCCATGCCATTGGTATCTATATAAATGTTTAAAAACACTTATTAGAAGGAAGACAGAATCTTATAGAATCCTGTTAATGATCGTAAGAGTCAATGATCTGTCAACCAAAACTAAGGGAAATTTACAGGGATACTTTTATAATGAAAAAAATCAAAAGGCATCACATCCTTGAAATGTCTTAAGGCTAGAAAGCACACATATAATAAGCTGAAAATATAAGGATTAAAACTGGACAGCACAAGACCCTCTTTAAGAGTATCTTTGTCTCTCTTACCAAAAAAAAGCAAAGAGAATGGGTAACTTCCTATAATGAAACTACTTTAAGGTCCTTCCTGAAGGATGATTCTTTTATGAATAACTATGCCTTTGCACTTTGTGGTACTAAATAAAATATTTGCTAAACTGAATCTTTATATTGAGTAGAATAATTAAAATACAAATGGGGTCATTTGGAACCATGTTGTCTTAACCTTTTCCAGTTATTTATCACAATTTAAAAAGGGATTTTTTTTGTCTTAATATGTTCTGACCAAAGTCTGTAAGATAGTAAATATGTGTTTTTTTGATAACACTAATATAACTGTGTCTATTTAAGAATATGACTATGATAAGATGACAATTTTAAAAGCCTAAATAATATAGCTAAATAAATGATATTTATATAGAAACAAACACGGTTTTTTATTTTATTTTATTTGTTTTTTTGCCACGCTGCCTCTACTTATTCTGGCATATAAAGGCGAGTTGGGAGTGCTAACAAGTGCAAAGTATCTCACCAATTGCTTTCTTCAATGCTTCAAAGGTGATTTCTTCAGTGTTACTAACCTAGAGAAAAGTAATTTAAAGTAAAAAAAAAAAAAAAGAGTTAGGAAAGTCAATATAAATAATACCTTCACCTAGTTATAAGTCATCTAAGAACTTTTACAAATTTGTTTTCTGTTTTATGTTGGCTTGAGTTGTGATTATATTTCACAATATCAAACCTCTACTTTTTTCATTCATTCTAACAATGCCTACTTACAGTGGTTTCCCAAAATAAGCCTATAGCTTAGTGTTAAACTGGCAAAATTAGCATCCCCTAGGCAACAAAACCATCCTTGAATTAGAACTCAGTCCTTAGTCATATGATGTGTAATAAGATTTGAGTCCCACTGACTGAACTATGAAGGCATCATAAGTAAATAATGCTTTGAGACAGTCAAGGCTGAAATTATATATAAATACATTTTAGCCATGTGATAAATAAGAAGTACTTACAGCCTCTATAATTTTGGCATCACATACAGTTTACAAATCAAAAATAAACTAAGATTTTAAATGGTTTAAAAGTAAGAATCATTACTTTGCAGTGTCCAATGAGTGTAGTTCATTAACATCTTAAAATAAGCATATTCTGGATCTTCTAATGTCAACCATTAATTTTTAGTCTCTGAAAATACCCTATAACTTGAGGCTCTCAAATCTCTCTCTTGCTTTGAAATATGTAAAAGGTATGAAATCAACTGGTTTATGATTTTTAAAAAAAGTCAATAATAGTTTTTGTGGCATCAGCATATTTCCAGAAGAAATAATATATCCAGTTACTATAGTATCTCTGAATACAAATTAAGAAACAATATATGAGTACTTGCCTGGAACTCTGGTCATCCCTAATTTTAGCTCATGAGCTTCTTTTGCTAAGCCTAAAGCAGCAAGACTAACGAAAGCAAAAGACTTCATGCTTTGCACCTTAGCTTCTCTGTAATACAAAGGCTTTAGCTGGAAGTCAAGCAGCAAGAGTTCCACTACCTCAGTTTTTCTACTGAGGGTTCATATTTCTAGTTGAAGTCAGATTAAACTTGGGGATCTTCAGTTCCTTTGTTCTAGATATTTGGAGCAGATATACAAGATTAGGCTCTGGCTGGTCAATTATTTGTACCTAGAAGCAATCTAGCACTTCAATGAAAAAAAGAACCTGCTGTTGTTCTTAGAATTGGCTAAGAGCTTTAGACTTTTGGGAAAGAACTACAGTACAGGAGAAAGAACACAAGAGAAGTTACAAAGCCAACATTCTTGTTACATACAATTTTTATTTATTATCTGTTCAATCTTGGGTAAATAAAAAGCTAAAGTGCCTTACCCTACTTACTTTTCTCTGTTTATTCTTATTTTAATTCAGATAATAATGATAGTTTCTTAGCATCAAGAACCTCCAAATCATTCTGCCTGTCTTTATCTAATCAATCATTCTGCCTGTCTTTCTAATCAGAGTAGTTGTTATGTCGTGTCCACTGATACTTCAGTAATTGGACAGCATCTAGCACAGCAGGTTGTGACTAATATAGAATGGACGTTAACACACATACAGGTTTCTCTAGTTGTTTTTTGTTGTTGCTGTTTTTTAACCTCCTTTCTCAAATTCCCTGCAAGTCATCTGCTGGTCCTATCCATTCTATTCCTGACTAGTATACTCTTGCCCTCCCTCCAGCCTCGCTGCTGTAGTTTAGAGCCTCATTACATCACTTGTGGACTATTACAAGGATCTCCTAACTGGCCTCCACCTCCAGTTTCTTTGCAATTTAGCCTTGTCACACTCCAGAGATTCCTTTTATGAAAGCATAACTTTGATAATGACACTGCCTGAATTTCAGTGTTTCCCAATCTCCTACCAAATTACATATAAAGCCCTCAGCCTGGTGATAAAACCTTCTAAAATTTGGCCCCAATCTTATTTCCTACTCTTCCCTTTTGTGAATCTTTTTATAAAAAGACCAATTGCTTTATACTAGCATTTAATGATTCATATTTATATAACGCAGCTGCTAAATACAAGCTACCTACTATATTTGGTGTTTACCAAACTATAGTCTGTTCTAGTTCTAGAGGAAAACTTAGTCATGAGGCATTATAGAGAAATGGTGCAAAGACACCATCCTAAAAGACTTTCAACATTCCTTTTACTATCTGTGACTTTTGATTAAAGCATAATTTATGACTCTAACTTAGACTACAGAACACTCTTAGACCTGCATAAAATCTGCTATTCATCTTTTCTAATCAGAGTAGTTGTTATGTCGCGTCCACTGATACCTCAGTAATTGGACAGCATCTAGCACAGCAGGTTGTGACTAATACAGACTGGACGTTAACACACATACAGGTTTCTCTAGTTGTATTTAGGAAAAAGGTAGGAGTAGATATGCATGAAACAAAGGTCTTTTATTTGTTCCAGAATAAACAATCCTTTGCAGCCAATTAGTGACTTAATTTTGCATAAAGAAATTTAACAGGTGCTCCAAATTTAATATATATACCATCCTATCCATATCCCTAAATAATTAAGCACTTACTATACCTTTCAGAGAGGAGAATCATGTGTTGATTTCAGGTTCTACTCATATCTATTATGCTTATATAAGAAATCAAAGAATCACGCCTATAATGTTTTATTCTATTAGTCAAGGTGATAATGTTATCTCAGGAGGCAGGAATACCTCTATTCTATTTAAGCCATTTATCTTCTTAAATACCTTGATTTAATTTAGGTATCTTTTTATATGGAGTATGTGTATATACATGTGTATATGTGCATATGTACATATGCAGTTGACCCTTGAACAACACGGGTTTGAACTGCATAGATACATTTTTATGCAGATTTTCTTCCTTTGCTGCCACCCCTGAGACAGCAAGAACAACCCTCCCTCTTTCTCCTTTTCCTTAGCCTTCTCAGTGTGAAGATGACAAGAATGAAGACCTTTATGATGATCCACTTCCACTTAACAGGAAATATATTTTCTTTATGATTTTCTTAATAACATTTTCTCTTATCTAAGCTTACTTTATTGTGAGAAGAAAGTATGCAATACTTATAGCATACAAAATGTATGTTAGTTGACTATGCTATTGGTAAGGCTTCTGGTCAACAGTAGGCTATTAGTAAAGTTTTGTGGGAGTCAAAAGTTATATGTAGATTTTTGACTATGCACGGGAGTGGGTGGGCAGTGCTCCTAAGTCCTGTGTTGTTCAAGGGTCAACTGTACATGTATATGTACATCTCTTTTTATATACAGCCATTTTTAGAAAAAGTTTACCAAATGATTCTTGGTAGGCTAAGGTATGAATTGTGAATGTAAGAACTGATACCACAAGTGGACCAGGTACTTCAATAGATTATAGTAACAATTTGAGTCTATCTAGGGAAAATAGAAATTTGTTACGGTCTCTATCTAAACAACCTTTTGACTGTCTTCTCTTTTTGTTAAGTTACAAGCTTTAAAGCAAATATATCTGTGGACAAACTGGGATTATGTATGTAAAATTTCAAATAATTTTGATAAAATAAAAGTAATTTTTATGAGCAATTTTTCTTATCTGATCAATTGTAAGCAAATAGTTTGATATTTTGTTACACTATTAACTGGTGAGTACCTCTTGTTCATGCTATGAAATTAATTAGTTTAGCCTAGTATAACCTAATGTTATTCTGGTACTTGAACAAATATTTCTAACATGCAAAAGCAGATTCCACAATGGTAAATGAGTTTGAAACTCAAATGTGCTCAAGTAAATGTGACACTAAACTGTACTTAACTTTTCAGATGTTCAGTGTTATGCATATTTAAGTTAGAACTTATAGTAAACAGAAAACAATAGGACTTTAAAAAGTTAATCAATATATTAATAGGCTTTTGATGTAAAATTTGTGTCAAGAATCTTTCTCTTACATTAAGTCTTTATGCAATTGTTTTTGCAGGTTATTTTATCAAAATAGACTGATTCTTTGCAGTAGTTTCAAGTGATATATATATATATATATATATATATTCAAAGAGATAAAACCAGCTAACAAAAGGAGAATGGAAAAATACCAGTCAAAAACATACACTGTACTCTTGACAAAATTAAGTCTATAAACTAAGGCTGGGGATGAATTTCTTCCTTTAAAAGGTAACAGCAAATTCATAATCATTAAAAGACATAACTAGCAAAATACTCTCCTTACTATTAAGAAGTATATAAATTAAAATGGCTTTGAAGAGGTGAATTGAAGAAAGATGGTTTTTATTAAGACTTAAATTGGTAAGACATTTTAAACCAGACTTAATGCCTTAAGTTTCCAAATGAGTACTAACTGCCTCTTCAACTACTCTTGATGCTCTGCTAATTTCTTGATAAAGAAAGTAAGTAAGTAAGTTGGCTATACCCTGGCCACCAAATAGTTTTAATACCTGAAGACAAATTGGAAGGTGGGAGAAGAAAGAAGGCTGATAAAGCATAAATCCAGACAACTTCTTTTCCCTTTATTCATGCACGTATTCTTTTACTTATTTATATTGTACCAGTGAGAAATAATACCTAGGAAGGCAATAATAGATAAACTAGGAGGTAGGGGTTGACTTGACATGCTGGCATTTTGGCAGTTTTAGTTGATTATCAAAAAATTCTTTGGTGATTTGTGTGGAATAAGTCCTAGAGAATACTGGCTGCTTTTTCTCCCTATTATTCAGGAGGGTACACTCTTGTGCTCTATTGAACCAGGAGGACAGCATTAAATCTATGATGTTTCAAATACACCATGTCTTTAAAGAGTATATAGTTCACCGATATGGCATAAGCTACATCCAATTCATTATATTTACTATTCAAAATGATAAAAACATTTTTCAGAGATGATGTTTTGAAATTTGTGAACATTTGATTTCATAGGTGGGTGTATAATTCCATTATTCCTATAATTTGTGTTTCATAAATTTTTAAAAATAAACAGGATCTAGAGGGCCTGTGAGACATGACAGGTCTCTTGTGTAACATTTCTTACAAAAAAAAATCTTGGTTATGTTTCACAGTTCCTTTGAGTACACTGAATTACAGTGTGAATCTGACAGTATCATAACACATGATGTTTTCAGTACCTTTATAAACAGCTGAAATGAGTTCAGTAAAATAGATTATAAATAAACTCAAGGCTAAATCAGATTAATTTCTACTAACAATTTACTTGATTTAAGGACGATTTAGAGCTGTATTTTCTCCTGTTTTAAAGTGTGCAAGGCAAAACCTTCTTTTAAATGGTATCTATCTCAAGACAGTACTCTACCACAAACTTTCAGCAACTTACCACATCATCAGAAGGAACGCTGTTGGATAAAATATCCACCTGAATGGAGACGGTGTCCACAATACTTTTTCTTCTAGAAAGTCGATCTTCATCTGAAATAAAAATTGTTTCCCCCATTATTTGTTAGAAATGTTATGTTGATTTTCATTTATAGACTCTATTTACTTCAGATTTCAAAATAATTCTGAAAATTAAGACAGTTTGTCATTTTTGCTCTAAATATATAAAGCAGTGTGTTCTCGTATTTTTACATCTCGTGAAGCAGACTGAAAAATAAAATTGATGGGGTAAATTGAAATAAAGTTATCAGTTTCTTACTTTTCTAAAAGGGGCATTTAAAATATCAACATCAATGACCACTACCTAATAGTTGAATAAAAAAAAAGTCAACATAACACTAAAAGGAGGAAATACATAATCTAAATTGGATATAAACAGCCTAACTGAAAGCTTATAATATTGCCCTTATATCTATAATACTTCCATAATCAGGGAAAGCTATTAATTAACTCTGGTTCTAGGATGGTAGTTTGGGAACTAATGTCTAAAAGTGTTCACAGTGTATTAAATTTTGTGTATTGAAATAATTTGCTGCTTTAATAATCTTCTCCACAATCTTTCCAGTCACTCATCTCCAATGGCTTTTGTTCTTCTGCTTTATAATTTGATCACCTGTCCAGAAAAACTTTCTCTTTATCTCCATGATCTAACTAATCTACTTTTCTGCCTTTTTTGCAAACTTGTTTGCATAGTCTGAACCAATGGCTCCGATATTTCACTACCAACTCTTCTGAAGCCCTGCAATTACAACCACTCTTGTAATAGCGTTTTCTCATAAAACTCTATTGTCCGCCAAATCACTACATTCAATAGCTATTCCTAGCCCATTTTCTGCTTAACCACTTCATAGAAATCTAAATTTGTTGATTAAAATGTCCTTCCACATATTCTTTTCTACTTCCACTTTTCTACTCTAGCATTTAATATTCAACAAATCTATTAAGAGACCATGTTAGGTTTAAGGACAGTTGCTGAATACATAGTCCGTACCCTCATGAAGCTCATAGTGTAACAGACAGAAAACAAACAAACAAACAAAAACTATGCAAATAATAAAGTATAGATGGAGAAAGTATAGGGTGCTATGAGAACATCTAATAAACATGGTTACATCAGGAAAAAGGAAGACACTTTATGTATTCCAATACATAGAATTACAGGCTTATTCAAACTTTGGTGAGCTGAGTGAGTTAAAGGTGGCGAGCCATAAGACAGTCTCCTGCAGCACGGAAATGGGTCATGGACAAGAAGCTCTGAGAAGCTTCAAGTTTGGTGTCTGCCCATTTGGATGCCTATACCAGTCTTTGAAGGATAATAGTTTCTCTTCTTCTATTTTCAAAATTTTGTGTGAGTGCTTTTCATTTTAAGTCTCTAACTCAGAACCACATGAAGGAGAGGATTCTGGAAAACACAGTTCCTGATTTTTTCCTCTGTGATGCAGAATAAAATTTAGAAGGAGTGACAATGATGCCAAGCTGGCCCCTGTTCTACTCCCATCCCTGATCTTCCAAATCTCCCAGAGATTTCCCAAGTACTACTGGGGCTGCAACTGGCAACATGCAGGCACTCTAAAAACACTTGTGTCACTGACCAGGAGCAGGATTCTATCACCTCATTTTCTCTTCTGAGCTCCAGTTCAACATTTCCAGTTCCCTATTAATCAAATTAGTATTATTATTTTGTAAACACAGTCTCACTCTGTTGCCCTGGCTAGAGTGCAGTGGCATCATTATCGCTCACTGCAGCCTCGAATTCCTGGGCTCAAGTGATCTCCTGCCTCAGCCCTCTAAGTAGCTAGGTCTACAGGTGCATACTACCACACCTGGCTAATTTTTCTATTTTTAGTAGAGATGGGGTTTCAGGCTGGTCCTGAACTCCTGAGCTCAAGCACTTCTCCCTTCTCAGCCTCCCAGCGTGCTAGGATTACAGGCCCAAGCCACCGCACCCAGCCAATTTTATTTGACATGTTCTAAATCCAAATCCAACATCTCTGATAAGCCCTATTTATGTCCACACTGCCTTGTTTATATTAAGAGTGCCATCATTCAAAACTTTCATCTTTTCTTACCTAAACTTATAGGACTGCTTTCAAACTGGTCTTTCTAACATGCTTCTCCCTTCTATAATGTCATAGTTGTTTCTAAAATAAATCATTTTCAGTCCCAATTATAATTTTTAAACAAATGCAGCCCACTGATTAGACCTGAGTTTCCCTACTGTGAAGGTGACGTCCCTGGGTCAGATTGGCCAAGACCCAAAGTCAGCAGAATGGGAGCACATTGCTTATTCCCGGAATTGGCAAGGTGTGACTTGTTGACCAGCAGAGAGAACTGTTCCTCAGGGCAAACGGTCAAGGACCTGTGGTTTCACATGCGAGCCAAGGTTGTCTGTTATCTGCACACGGTACCAGACGGTAAAGGATAGAATGCAAACATCTTCCTCTCTCATGCTATGCAACCAAGCCAGGCGTCTTGTTATCCGCAAACGGTATCAGACATTAAAGGGCATCTCTTGTGCTATGTCTAGAGGAACAGCTCCTGCTGACATCTGCCAGTCATGTCCTGAGAAAACAGCTGCGGGACGCTTGCCAAATTGAACAGTATAAAAATAAAATGACTGGTGCTTTTTACGCGCTGCAGTCTTACTGTCTTTTGTGTCTGTGTGTTTTTTTGTCTGTCTTTCTGTGTTCATCCCCCGTCCTGCAATTGGGCCATGACACACTGTTTGGGGGAGCATTACAGGTGTGTCTGAGTATTGTTCTCTTTAGCTCTTCAAGTAGCTAGGCAAGGCCTGGGGCAATCTGAGCCTGCAGTATGAGCAGCATCTTCCATTTGTCACTATGTGCCATACATGTTTTATATGTGCAATGATGAGAAAAACTTTGGGAAGTTCTGTATTGATCAGTTCAAGTCTAGAATCTTAGCCTAGTATCATCTGGCAACACTATCTAATCCCATTTTGTGTCTACTGTAATTTTACTTTAGTGAAATGGGAAAGAATGAAGAACTAAGTAGAGAAATCACTGAGAACAAAAAGGAAATATAGTGGGCAGAGATTTAAGAAAAGTAATTAGAAATTTTAAAAGGAAAGAAAATAAAATTCAATGGGAATTTCTACCACTACAGTCTCAGAGCTTTTTCTTCTTCTGACCTACATAAACACTTGCTTAAGTGACTGCAAAAAAGCCCAGGTATGACTATAGTCAGACATCTTGTACATCTACACCAAATTAAAGTTTCTAAAATAGAACTTCCAGAAGATAACATCCCTGTTCCCACAGGCCATCTAGGGCTGTTCCTGATCTGCTTTTCCTCTGTGGGTTACACTGTTCTGGTGGTTCATCACCATCTCAGATGCCTCAGATGCACCCCCTGGGGATACCCTTGCTTCTCTTCTTCAAGTTGGGTTGAGTTAGTTCCAGACAACTAACCTTGCCCTTTCCATTTCCCATCCCTTGTACCTCTCTGCTTCGTATGTCTGCTGTTCACAATGGTAATCATCACTTTTTCTTTTTGTTTTTAACTATGCACAAAGACCTGAATTTTAGAAGCAATACGTCTAAATTAAGGCCGGCATTAGAGCTATGTCTATATTCCTTCAGTGATATTTTGCTGCCACCTGATATATCTGTATATAACATATGGAACTGCATTCAGATGGCCAAAAATAGAGAAAACAGTCTGAACAAAAGTATGGCACAGAGTTACATTAACTGACTACCAACATAAATTTTATACAGCTATCTATAGAAAATAAGATACAGGAACTGACTTAATTGTATATAATAAACATAAATGTATCTGGGGTTACTATATCACCTAGATTCAGTTAAAAAGCTAACCGGGACACAAAGGTGATTTATCCATACACAAAATTCAAAATGTCATGGTATGATGCAGATACTACTCATATAGATATATTTTTTGGTCCTATACAAAAAAATTATATAGAGTGCTAATGCATATTTATGAAACAAAAACAAACCAAAACTCATTTTACCATGGAATAAAAAAGTCAGAGTAATACAAAAGAATATCTTTATTTCTTGAACAAATTTAAAAATAGAACCTCTACTACTACCCCCTCCAGAAAGGAGAAGTAGCATATATATGTGAAAATATTTTGATAAGGAATTGGGTAGAAAACAATGGAAGTTTTGATAAATCAGATTAAGGCATCAGTGTGTTATAAATGCTTTTAATCAACAGTACAAATCAACACGATTCAAAAGCTAATTAGAAGATTAAGATGCTGACATAAATATAAATATCATTTTTATATTCATATAGGATTTTTTAGTTTTTAAAGTACTTTGATGCATATATTTCATCTGAGCTAAATGGCTTAGGAGCTATGGCCCTTGCTTTCTGTGGGAGGACAAGGGGCCACTGATATAACTATGGCAGAGCCAAGTTATAACAAACTTCTGACTCCAAGCCAACATAAATGCAAGTTTTTGTTTCCTGGCTTAGAGGAAAATCAAGTATACTGCTTCACCTACTGCAGATGGTTTTCAATGGCACAAATGGTTGGTTTGGAGATGTGCAAATGGCTGGATTTATATTAATAAATGAACTTATCCGTACTAATTTATGAATTTAGTACAAAAGGACATACTCTCTGTCCTTTGTCAGCATGTGTTTCAAAGACTGGGTTATACTAGTGCCTCCATTTAGCCTCAAGAAAAACAGCAAAAACAGAACAAGCAGCACAATGAAAAATTAAATATATGTATTCTGCTATTCCTTTTCAGCTCATTTTCAAAACTGTTGTCTCATAGGCTATCAATAATCACCTTCTAGGAAAATTCAAAGAAAGGCCTTAATAGTTTTCAATGTCCTTGAAGCTTCAGTAATCTGTGACAAGTTACCTTTTTCCCCTTTCTGAAGCTTCGTCCCTCTACCTGCCTTTCACTACCAACCTCCTAGCAGCCACATGACAAGCACTACCTTACTCTCCTTTTACATTCTAATTGAGACTTTTGGCTTTTAGGCTCTAAACTCCTTCCCAACATACCCTCCCTAAGGAAAAGAGAATTCTTTAAAGCAATTCTATCTTCTTTCTCCTCACATCTTCATTTTGAGAAGTCACTCTCCCTGAGGCTTTAGCAAAATCCCCCATATCACTCATTTCCAAATTCTCATGACAATCTCTCAACTCTCATATAATACCCAGCTCTGACTCCTAACTGCCTACAGGGCACTTTACTTGGATGGTTCATGGTCAGATATTCAATAACAGACTGATCTCTAAAACTAGCCATTCTTTACTATTCATTTTTGTTAATAAATACTCCATCTTTTTGTCATCCCAGATGTAAAATTACTTATACTTTCAGCTGAAATATATATTTCTTTCCTTCTTCACTTAAACCCAGTCATATCACCCATCCCTCCTAAAAACCAAAAACAAACAAATGAAGTGGCAAGTAAACTTTGCTCTTCCTCTAAGTTTTGCACCAACCTCTCAGGTGCCCAAGTCAGAAACCTAGACAAAGTCCCCGGCCTTCTCCTTGTCTCCCCATATCAATAACTGTCTATAGATTCCCTCTTGTAAATTTTTATGGAATCTATCTACTTCCCTGTGTTTTCACTAATACCTCTTTAGTATTTCACTGTCATCTCTCCTGGGATTTCTAAAGAACCTTCTAAAAGGTCACCCCATCTCCAGTTTGCTAAACTAAAACCAGAGTAATATTTCTAAAATGCAACTCTAATGTTATTCTCTGATTAAAATCATTCAGTGCCTCCACGTTACTTTCAGAATAAAGTTTAAACTACTTCACCCTGCTTTATAATTCCTAACACCATTCCCACAAGTCTACCTTCACTCCAGATAGACTAACTTTGTATTAATTCCCAGAAGAAATCATGTTCTGGCTTGCCTCGTTCCTTCACACATGCTGTTAACTTCTGTATGAAACAGTGCACTTGTCTACCAGTTGCTTCAGGGCTCAGCCTAAGAGCTTTTTCCCTCTGGAAAACATCCTTGGCCCATCAAACCTGGATCAAATACTCTCCTAGGTGCTATTAGAGGACCCAAACTTTCCTGATCATAGCATTTAAGGTATATTACAAGTGCCTAGTTATTTGTCTTGTTAGAGACAAATAAATAATAAAATTAACTTCTTTCCTACGCATCTGAATAATACTGGTAAAATGTCTTCTTGGGAGAACTGAAAGAAGAGACGTTTAAATTATCTGTGTTTTGTGGTTGAGATAAAGAACTCAGCTGAGAGACTGTAAGCTTTGTGAAAGCAGGTATCCTACCTGTCTTGTTCATCCTTGCCTCTGCACAGGAGCTAGCATGCAGAAGGTACTCATTAAATACTTCAATAACTGTGTGAGTTTACTGAAGCTACTGGTACCTCTGAATGGTCCAGCTGAGGAATATTACTGTAACTCCCCCCACCCCATAGAATAGCATTTAGCACTTGCCTAGATATACACTATTTACTCAAATTCTAGCTTGACTGGAGATAAAAGTAAAATGCAATAATCAGCTAACATTTACTGAGCACTTATTATTATGTTAGACACCAGTAGTTCAATAAACTTTAGGCAGATCATTATTTCATCGTTCATCTGTCTTCCCCACTAGATTTTAATCCTTGAGCATAGGGAATGCATCTTAACATTTTTCTACCCTCCAAAAGTCATTAACAGTGCCTGATATATAGCAGGCATTCAGTAATGGTTTGTGAAATAAATGAAAAAAATCAATCTGGATCATTCCAGATGCCTGAACAATCTTTGAGCCCCTCAAAAATAGTTAGCAAAATCAAGTAATTCATTAGGCACCTAATTGAAGAGGCAGTTAATTCTGGTGGTATCATCAAATCATTTTATTTAATTTCAGCCTCGCTATCTCAATTGTAAACAAAGATAACACTACCTCCCTCACCAAACTATTATAAGGATTAAGTAAGAAAATGAATACAATGTGCTTATCAGAGTGCCTAGCACACAGTGCTAAATGGGAGCTATATTGTGATGATGATTGATATTGCATGATACACAACAAACTAAATATATTTTGCTTTATTTGACAATTGTTCTTAAATCTCTGTAATTTTTAAAACGAAGACCTATGGTTATATAACAAGAGAAAATTTAATAACCAACTGATTTAAACGGTGATTAAATATCACTGTTTCTTCTCACTGCTTCTGCATTAAGGTAGGATATATGTGCCACAGACTGGTTCCAAACCATCAAAGTCTTTATAAATCAGAACAATCTTATTCTAATTAGAGATTTCTATGCAGTTACATAATTAAGTATACACTCAAATATTCAGAATTCTTCCAATCAATGACAGAGGCATTATAGAGAGAATACATCTTTATTAGGAGAGGAATTGGGGAACAACAAACTACCTGTTTAAAAAAAAAATACCAGAGCTTTCATTAAAAAATTGTTAAAAGGAAAAAGGTAAAGGGAACTAACAAAAGGGTAAAATAAACTATGGCTATAAGGAAGACAGAGCAAAGTAATAACTAAACTTGTAACTATATAACATATACAGGCCACTGGCTCCATTCTCTAAAAGGCTCATTACATTAAGCTATTTTCCTAGAAGACAAGTGAGGGAAAGGGCAGGCCAAACTGACAGTTGGATTTACCTTTGTACTTGTGCCTGGGTTTATGAGGTTTTTTGCCTGAAGAAAAGAGAGCTAAATCCAAATTATAAAAGTGAAATATTGTAAATTTCCTCTAAAAAAAACCTTTTACATTACAAAGTTCTACCAGCGTTTTAGTCTTAGCATGTTTATTTCCTCAAGGAATTCCTGAAGAATGGAATCTTTGATAGTATAAAAGTAAAATGCAAAAGCCTTCACTGACATCCTATACTGTTATGAACAACTCTCACTGTAATAACTGTATATATTTTTGATTCACATTATAAAAAAGATATATATTTACAAAGATTGTGCTATTTCTTAGTGACCACTCCAGAAAACTAAGTGAAATCAAATGGTCCTCTTGTAGAGCAGAGTATCCCCAAAGGAAGAACTAGTTCTTCTACCAAATTTCATATGTATATAACCATTCAATGAAAACGAGAGTATAAGACAGAAATTCTTTGGTTTTAGTTTTCAAAGTAAAAATTGGATGTGTTACCATGCAGTTTTGTCTTCAAACACAACAGAATTATTTTGAGCAACAGAAAAATAGGAGGAAATATATAGTTCACAGAGGAAAAAAATATCCCTAACTTAAAAAGTTTTCAGGTTTCCTTATACAGCAACCAGTTTGTACTCTTTCAAATGGCAAATGTTTGCTAATTCATTAAGCTTAATCATCACACATCACTAAACAATTTTCAGCAATTTCCACAAGTTAAATATAATCTTGTTTAATGAGAAAAGAGCTCACATGCCTTCTCTGTTTAAAGTATAATATTAAGTAAAATGATATATTAATATAATATTAAGTATAATAATAATAAACACTAAAGGACTTAATTTGCTTATGGTAAAATCTATTATGTCTTCAGAGATTTACTATAGGTTTTTAAGAGCAAAATTTAAAAATAGGAGTATAAACACTTTTAAGTCTTGACAAAGGCTGTGCTATAGTAACTATATACATCAGAATTAATTTTCATTGGTAATTGGGTAATAGAAGTATTACTAGTATTCTCCTCTTACCTGTCACTTGTGGTACGTATGGCACTGACAATCTCTCAACACTATATCCGCTTCCACCTAGTGACTCTGCAATTTTGTTGGTCAGAAAGTACAAATTTTTTTCATGCTTTTCTAAAGATTTTGGAAGCCTGTCAAGTTGATCAAAACAACAATCATTCAGTATTACTTAAATTAAAAATAAGTTAATATGCAAAGCATTCTAGAGCAAAAGCCTCAACATTCTAAATATACACACAACTTAAACTGTAGTTAAAAACAGAAAAATCAGTATATTTTAGGTGACTAATTTGAGCTCTTTAAAAACACCAAGTAGGTAGGTGGTCCCACATTCTGCTGTGATTCTCCTCCAGGTATGTTCCAATAGTAAATTTGGCCTTAAATCACTCTTGATGTTTACACATTAAATGATGAAGAGCACTAAATTTAGGATTTTTTATGCTGATTAAAAATGAAAATAAAAATGTAGCTTACTGATTGTTAATGAAAACCGCATTAGCCAGCTTTGTATTAGGAAGTACTTGCCTAACCAAATAAGATTTGCTTTTCAAACTGCTTGTTATTTTCTTACATAGATGCTTCTCATATAAACTTTTTTGAGCTCAAACATTTGAATAAATACTCTTCATATACATATTTTTTTCTTTGGAGAGCAAGGAAGAATGTAAGGTATAACATCAATTTTTCTTAATACAACTTTGTCCTGTAATTTTATGAGTACTGTTACATATCATTGAAAGTCTTCAAGAGGATATTGTTTTCTCTTAAAGGAGTTCATTTATATCTGAGAACATAAAAAATGCTATATTTAAGAGACATATCCCATATTTAAAAAAATAGAATACATCTTTTTTTCTTTTTAAAATTTTTTTCTCCTTGTGTCTATAAGTCAACATTTATAATGTGTGAGAAGTTTTACAGCAAGGGAAAAAGTTAAAGGAATTAAATGACAAAAACACAAAACAATAATTAGTACAAAACACCAGAAAATTATTATAATTGTTTACTCCTTTATAATTATTACTGATTGGTTTCTCAAGTTAGTTCCCCTTCTAACATATAAAGAATTAACATACATGCACTTATCTCTGAAAATATGCTCTGGTAGAAAATAAGGGGCTTCCATAGTTCGAATTTCAATAACCTGAAAAATATCCAAAAACAAAAGAAAACAAAAATCAAAAACCTCACCTTTCAAGACCTTCCTATGAAAATTCTGAAAACTTAAAAAAAAAACCTTTTAAACATTTATAATAAATACTATTACTTTAGTTTTTAATTTAAGCTAAAGTTAGAGCTCAAATGCAAAGTTTATTTTATTTTCACATTTATTATTTTAAATATAGCAGATAAAATCATAAAAATATATAAATTAAAAAATGATACATTATATTTGATTAAACCTGCTATGAAGAAGTAAGAACATGTATTTTCTCAAATGCACTATTTCAGAAATCCCCTTACTAATCACCATCATCCATTTTCTGTACTATCTTTTGTAGCCCGTGCACAAGATCTCAACCCACTTGTGAGGTCTGGATCATCTACTGAACTGTGATCAACTTAAAGGGGGTACCCTGCTTTTATGATATTTATAACTCTACTGGTTGGCATCAAATATTCATTCAAATAGTTGTTTAATGAATAAATGAGTTTTATTTCTTAGAATGCACTAAAAACCTATACTTTAGTTAAGGACTAAAAGATGCACTTCTAATTTAATAAAAATGAGGTTCTCTCTTACAGATATCTTTAAAAGTAGACTTCTTCTGCCAGGTAAATTAGGGGCTCTAAAATGTTTCTTAAATCATATAAGTAACTATTTAAGAGTTATTGATGGAAAAAGTTAAATATACTTGAAAAGCATAGAACATATTCAAATTTTGAGATCTGCCTCAAGTAGATTAATGTGAACAAAAATAGCATAATTTAAGAAAATTTAGATATTAAGATTCATAATGGCTCAAAGGAAAAAATTATAGAATAAATCACATGACATATTCTAGAAGAAAACCATATATTATATTCAACCACTACATTAAAAAATTCTAATAAAACAATAGACATCTAAGAAAATATAATATAAAAAACACTAGCTATAATTTTAGCTGTAGTTTCAATTCAGTGGCTGTGTATTTTTATAGAATTATCTTAATGTGATACATAATCATTAAAGTTAACAATAACCATCACTAGAAGAAAATTAGCCATTTTTGTACAAAATTCAAGCTTAAGGACTTTTCTAAATACATTACCTTGCTAACATGCTGGCAAAATGCAGGGACAGCTATCATCTGACTTACAAAGTTGAGGTATGCTGCAACCAGTGCCATGATTCCACAACGATGGAACATTGGCAAATTATCCTCATTGATTATCGCACTGTCCTTTAATGAGAAACAGACATATCCGACAGATCAAGTTTTTATGTTCCATTAGCATTTTCTCTATGATTATACTGGAAAACTGCAGAGAGTTAGCAATGCTAACAAAAATGTTACCCTATCATAAGTTATTTTATATAAGAATTCTGAAAGGAGAATAAATGCCCATTTACCAGAGTTAAATATTTCAACTTAAATGTCTCTTCCTTAGGAAATCCTTTCCTGTTCTCATATATTAATATATACATACATATATATATTGCCATTGACAACTTTTCTATTTTATAACACACAACTCAATTAAACAACTATACATGTAATTATTATTTAATGACTTTCTTCGCCACTAGACTGGAAGTTATGAGTGCAGTGACTGTGTTTGTCTTTTTCATCACAGTATCACCATGGCCTTGAAGGATATTTAGCACACAGTCAATGCGCATTCAATATCCACAGAAAGAATAAATGAACATGATCATAGTCTTGAATATTTCTGATTTACAACCAGACACCTTCCTTTAAAATTCACATCCTTGGATAAAGGCAATAACACTTTAACATCATTGTGTCTGCTTCCTAAAAAATATTTTCTTCTGTGTAAGGTTATGAAAGCATACCTGTAAAGCAATAGCCAATCGAATGAGATCAATAACCACTTCTTCATTGGCCAGTTCAATAGTTATAAGAGCAAGAGAAGTATAAAGTAGCTCATAGTTTTTCTGAACATTGTCTTCCTCTTTACAGCCCAAATATATGTGCCTATATAGCTGTTGCCCATTCTAAGAAGAAACAAAAGGAAAAAAGACATGTATGTCTAAATTGTAATAAAGGCAGACTTCACATATATATATAACCTTCTACAAAGTAACTATCTTATTATACAACTTAACATGGAAGTGAAATTTGAGCTGATGATCAGATGATCAAATTCCAATTATTTACATCAACAAATATGCTAATTACAAATATAAACTAATGTTAGAGTTGAAGACAAACCTTAAATAAAAATAGCAAGTAAGATATAGTTGAAGTTTAAACAATGAAAGTGTTTTTTAGTAATAATTTGAAAATACAAAAGCAAATTATAGATTAATTTAATAAAAAAGTAAAAGAGATGGCACAATTCTAGGAGATATTTTTGCAAAAACAGTCTCAGTAATGGTAAGAAATATTTTGCTGAAGGGAAATGTACTTAGGCTTTCTTGTCTTGGAAACAATCCCTGCACCACAGGTTAGGAGCTGTTCAGAAAAGAGCATTTACAGTTCTGTTATATTTTGGCATGCAGTCGCTAAATGCTAGTCTAAAGCTTATATTTAGGGAAGAGGGTACAGAAACTTACTAGGGATTGCACAGAGGGTTTTCCCAAATCAGACTGACCTAAGTAGGTTAATAAAGGACAATAAAGCCTTTCCTACCTAAAGCATTTCTGGGTATAGAAGCAACAAGTGACAGCTAACAGAAATAAGAGGGTGGTTCCCATTTCCCATTACCATGGAGTCACTAACTTGGTACATTCTCAACTCTGTCAGCTAGAATTATTGGGCAACTGGAATGACCACCAAGCCCCTGCCCTCCCACCTTCTCACCACTGTCCTCCCTCCCATAATATGATTTCATTGGTCAGGAGTAAAGTCCAAGCATCAGGGTTTAAAGTACAAGGCTCTCCAGGTGATTGTAATGTGCAGCCAGGCTTCAGCACAATGGGGGACCATCCATTCACACATAGAGGCACTTTAGCTTAATAATGCAGGCCTGTTTCTCAGCAGGTTCTTCTGATTGATCAATTTAGGAGAAGGAACCCTGCAAGAACAGCACAGACTCTTCTGTTGCCAGCCTGTCTGTAATAAGCATGCATTCTGCTCTGTTCTCTAACGGCACTAAGGCCTCATTGCAGTAAGGAGGCCTCTAGTTCTCCAACTGAGACAGTGACTTACTGGTTAAGTCTGTTTAAATCTGTGGCAAAGTGTTAGCAAGCCTTTTTTGGCTACAGATATAGAGTTATGCTCTCCTATCAGATTCCTTTATTTCTGAAGCTATTATTTTGCTTTCCACTTTTCCAAATCCAGAGTTTCTCTGTCTCTCAATGGCTTCTAAACTTGGGTTGGGGAAAAATGGTCTTATGTAGTGGGCCCTCTCAAACTCTAAGAACACTCTTGACTACTATGGTTCCTAAACATCACTGGTAAACATTAAGACAATGCTTACATATGTAGGAGTTTAGGCTTCAGGTTCCTTAATTCCAGTTTATTTTTAAAAATTACCGACAACATATCTACTATATTAGACAAAATTAAAATTTTTTATATATACTGTAACAATGTAGTGTAAATAGGTGTAATGACTTCACAAAGTTGTTTGGCATCATCTAGTGATTTTGAAAACAGAATAACCTATTATTGAGCAATTCCTCTCTTACAAAGGCCTTGACTTTATTTCAAGGTCATAGATCAATTAAAAAAACCACCTAATAATTTACATAGCTATAACTTATATCATACATTTATTTTTTAGATGATCTTACCTTTTTCATGAAACTTGTATCTTGTCTACAAATTTTTTCTCTTTTTATCTTTAGGTCAGCCACATCTGGTATTATTCTAGAGACAATCAATTCATGAGTTTTAATGAATAGCACATTTAGTTACAATATCATCCTACATGGAATATTATATTTATGGTTAGGAGTTTGAACTATTTAACACTCAATTCAATGAGCATATTTAATAAGCCTATACATAATACCATTGAATTACCAAGCTTAAGGGGAATTGTATACAGTAATTTTGACTCTTAATGCCATTCCTAAGTTTAAAGAAAAACAAAAATAAAATCCATGTAACTAGTTATTACTAGTAGATGAAATCTCTGACGAGTATATTAAATGACCTCTAAACATTTGCAATCTTAAAATATACAAAGAATTAAATGGTCTCAATATTACTTAAGTAAAAGTCTGGATTTATAAAACCTAAAACTGCTAGACTTTAAAAAAACACAATACTTAACTACACTAATTTAGAAATTTAAAAACATTAATATTAAGGCCTTTTCAAAATGGCATATTACCTGATCCCTCGGAGCTTTGCCCTATTGTCATGGCGATCCATGAGATTGTGCATTACTTCCAAGACTAACTGTCTCAGTTCAGAGTCTTCCATGAGAGACGGTGATAACAAAGGATCCAGAAAAGACCCTGGTAGCGCAGTAACAATTGTCTTTGCTTTGTATCCAGAGGTTACCTAATTATCAGTAGGAAAAAAACCAACCAAGCTTTGTCATGAATCCTTCTTTGGTAAATTCTCACATTGTTTTTTAAGAATCCTAAAATTAGGGAAACAAAGTTATGGACAGAAGCTTGAAGAAAAGACATAAAGTAAATGTGTAGGGTGATGAAAGATTTTACTGAAATTTATAAAACCTTCGTACATAGGGAAAATAAAATAACAGCACATATTTCCCATGTGCTAGTTAAAAATTCTAAGTACTACGTACATATTAACTTTGTTCCCCACATCCCTGAGGTAGGCATTAGGGTATCCCCATTTGATAAGAGAAGACTGAAGCTCAGACAGGTTAAGATTATAAGGAATAGGCAGTCAGTACAAAATAGATACAAGGAAGTTAGGTGGCAAATAGTACAGGTAAGACCTGCAAATTTTTAATTTAAATCTATAAATTATTCTTCCATTTTAAATTAGTCAGTTGGTTAATAGGAATACATTTTATTTTTGGAAAGTTGTACTTTATTAGTTACTTGATTTGACATTTATGAGTATATCATTGTCTTCTAAATTTAAAGATTTTAAAGAGAATATACTTAAATGTTATTAAACTTTTTAAGCATACCACACAGATACTCATTCAGTTGACTATGTAGCATAATCAGAGTGAGAGGCACAGTAATTTATTTAGGAATTTTGTTAAACATCAATAAAGGCTCAGGACCAAATAAAATTTCAGGTAGGTCATTTCAACATATTTTCAGGATTATAAGCATATATGGAACATTTAACATTTATATTTGGGCACTTATAGGAGGATGGAGGTGATTTTATAAGTTTGTGGGAAAATTGGTAGGACAAGTGTCTACCCATCTAGGAAAATTAAAAATATATTCATAACTCACACTACATACACAAAATAAACTTCAAATTCAAGTTCTAAATGTGGAAAGCCAAATTTTAAAACTCTTATAAGAAAATATAAACAAATGAGTTTATATTATCAGAGTAGATAAAAAAGCACAAAACATATAGGAAAGGACTGACAAGTCTAGCTATATTAGAATTTAAAACTTCTGTATGACAAGCACTATGAACAGAATTAAAAATAAAACCACAGAAGATATTCCCGTACTTATCCTAGGTATGAGACAGTTCTTTAAAAGAAATGGGATCATGTATAACAAAGATTTCCAAAATAAATTTGAAAAACATTGATTTGGAAATGGCATACATTCCAAACAACTAGCCCTTACTTTGTTCTTGGCTTTATGCTAGGAGTAGTTCAATCAAAGATGAATACAATTACTATAAAATAACCAAAAGATCTCTCATTTGGGGTATGCTTTTCCTTTTGAGCTATTTATAGCCACCCCAAATTTAAAATGACAAATTTTCATTTTTATGGATTATTTTCCCAACAAGAAGCCATTATTTAGTCACTATGTAAAAGAAATAGTGTAATATGTTGAAAAGAACTTTGGATTTCAAGTTCTATTCTTTAACTCAGTGACCTAGTGAACCTCCTCTACTCCTTCCACCCAAAGTCTCTGAGCCTAGGTATCTTCACCTGTAAAATGGCAATAGTTTCTACCCTCTGTATGTTTCATCATTATGAGGATCAAACAAAATGCTAGGAGACATGAAGAATAAACAGTAAAAAAAATATACAATAAAAAATTTAAGAGCATAATAAAAAATCAATCATAAATAGTATCTTACTAAATTAAATAAGCAAAGGAAGCTGATAATATGAAGCTATCCCTTTAATATTTTCAATAATTTAAGGTTAAATGTGTTAATCTGTTTTAAATACCTTACCATAAGTAAAGATCTCAGCAACATTATCTGAATCCGCCTGGTTCCCAAATCCCTATAACACACAAAATGCTGTTATTATTACACTAATTTACATATTTTTTAAAGAGATAGGGTCATACTCTGTCACCCAGGCTGGAGTGCAGTGGCACAATCATAGCTCACTGCAAACTTGAACTCCGAGGCCCATGAGATCCCAAAGTGCTGGGATTCCAGGCCACCACACCCAGCCCTAATTAACATTTATATTACTTCATTTACTTATGTTACTGTTTACTGATTTCAAAACTCTATTTGGATAGACTAAATAGATTTTATTACCTTAATAGTTTAAGTCATGGCTCGCTTTATATGCTAAAGTAAATTTCATATGAATTAAAATATTTATACGTAAAAAAATCAAATTCAAACAAAAATAAGTAAAGTTATTGGCTGTCAAAGAAAACAGATGTACTAAACACCACAAATTAAAAGGCATTATAAAAAGGAGAAAATTCTTACTACAAACATAGTTGATGAATATAGTATCTCTTTAATATACATCAATAAACAAGAACAGATAATTTTAAAAAGTATTAAAAAATGGAAAAAGTGTTAATGATCAAAAAAACATAAATCAAATAAGACACTATCAAATTAACAAAACAAAAACACTCACGAAAAGCTATGATATGTTATAAAATCAATCCAAATGTATGAAATAAGGGGGCCAGAATACATGATTTTTAAAATCACTATCAGTTCTAGAATTCTAGGAGTAAGTCAACACTCCTGACACACATTAATTTTTAAAATTTGTATGGGAAACTTGAAGGTTTACTCTAAATGTGTATGCATATACACAAACCTGCCACCTGGTCAGTATATGAGAATATTTGAGAATTTATGATAAGCTGAAAAATTATTTTAAAGGCATACAACTGTTGATTCAATTGCTTAGCAATCTAGTATCATAAAAATACTAACTAATTTCCATAGGACTTTTTATTACTAATGATTAAAAAACCCCAAAACTAACATTTTCTACATTTGTTTAAGATAAAATTTAACCCATGATTAAGTTCAAATTTATAGTCTGAGAACATACCCTAGTTGACTGATATCCAAAATATGGGTAGATGTTCCAAAAACAGGTACTTTACCCATAATGAACATCATGATTTCCGACCTCTGATAATCTGGCAGGTTACTTCCAAAAAATCCTATAAAAATATTAAGATAAAATTTTACAAATTGAAAAAGTTTATTTTTTTCCATATAGTACAAACATTTTTAACCAAAGTTTTCAATATATGGTAAAACAATGACAATCTTTAAGCTACATATAACACTAAAGATATTATAATTTCATTTGCCCAAAATCATTTAGTTATGTTCAATATAAGGCATGTATAATGGGTTAATAGTTAAATAAAATAACAAATATCTAAAAGTCTTTTGCACATAGTTAACAGAAGCAAGCCAGCATTGATTTAACTAGAGTTTTAAAAAAACGGAAAACAAATTTTTGGTAGTAGTTATGATCAAACTCTTGTTCGTATATCGTGAGCCTAAATTCTTACTCAGATAAGGAAGTCACTAAGTAAATGACACTTTGGTAAAGAAGTCAATGATTCAGTTACTATTCTGGCATCCCAGGATTGGCCAAATATTTAAAATGTCATTATAATGGCTAGGTTTACAGTTTAACCCTGTGAGTTAATTCAACATACATAATTCAACTGATGTAAAAAATAAATAACTTATTTGCTTGTCATTTTTCTCATGTATTCTTGGGTTTTGAGGATATTTTAAATTTATCTGCTGTAGCTTTTGATAGTTTACTTCCTGGTCATAAATAATTTATAACCTTTAATTATCATTTACTCAAACTTTAAGCTTTCTCATATCTTTGAAAGATCAGAACAGATATTAAATCAGAACAGGTTTCAAATTTGTTCCTTTCTTATAATTCAATGTAATTGTTATAGAAACCTTCTGAATTTTTAATAGCTCTTTAAGAATAAATTGGTTTTTCAATTTAACCCTTCACCTTCTATTATTCGAGTTAATAATCTTATACAAATGCAAACTGTTCTATTCAGCATTTTAATTGGACCTAGAGGTAGAAGTCATTTCCCACAGTCACAGTTTAGCAATCAAAAATCTCATTACCTTAACTATACTCCACCTGCATAAAGTGTATTATTCTAGTTAACATTTATAGAGCACATATTTACGGAATAAGAAACTATTTTATATTTGGATCCTCACAATAACCTTATGAGTCTTGGTACTATTATTTGCATCAGTCTTCTCGTGTGGAATTGAGGATAAGAGAGGTTAAGATGCTTACAAAAAATTACATAGCTCTTATTAAGGCCTGGGGTAAGGGTTACTTATTTCCAAAGCCAATGCTATTATTACTCTATACTTCCTCCATATAAGCTAGTTTTAGCTTTCCAAGTATCCAATTAGATATGTTTCTCATCATTGCACAAAACTGAACACTGATTTTCTGTTCTAAACAAGTCAGTCATTACCATAAGCACATAATGCAACATGCACTTCTGTTTACCACAGCACTTAACAGAAGACTATCCACCTATACACAGAGTGTGGCTAACAGTTTAAAGAGGTAACAAGTACCATCATACTTCCCTGTATTCAACACCGCCTGTATCATTAATTTATGGTCATCCCTCTTGCTTTTCAAAAGTGTGAAATAGTTTTCTCTAAGCCAGTGGTTCCCAAACTTTGCTGCATTTTAGAATGACCTGGGGGGAGCTTTTAAAATGCTGATGCACATGTTGAGTCCCACGGTAATTAAGTCATATCTGGGGTGGGAGACCAGGCATCAGAATATTTTTAAGATCCTAAGGTAAATTCAACAGTGCAGTGAGGTTAAAGAACCACTGCCCTAAGGAAAAACTTTTATTTTAGTCTTCCAAGAATATAGTCAACTGAGTCTACCATATCTGGTGTTAATTGGAAACAATAAGTTGCTAACAACCTAAAAATAATAATAGTAGGAAACAAATGCAACTCATTTATGCTTTATAATTGCTTTGATTTTTTAAAATGTAAAACAGGGCTGGAGTCTCCAACATCATCAACTGTAAGGATAGTCTTCAAAAGCATTTCATTCTCTATACCCATTGTTTGTATTTGAACTACTGAACAGAAATGCTAATGAGTCCAGAAGAAAAAACACAACAGGGAGCTATGCTCTTGATTATTTTATTTTATTATTATTATTTTTTTGAGACACAGTCTAGCTTTGTTGCCCAGGCTAGAGTGAGTGCCGTGGCGTCAGCCTCACTCACAGCAACCTCAATCTCCTGGGCTCAAGCAATCCTACTGCCTCAGCCTCCTGAGTAGCTAGGATTACAGGCATGCGCCACCATGCCCAGCTAATTTTTTCTATAGTTGGCCAATTAATTTCTTTCTATTAATAGTAGAGAGAGGGTCTCGCTGTTGCTCAGGCTGGTTTCAAACTCCTGACCTTGAGCAATCTGCCCGCCTCAACCTCCCAGAGTGCTAGGATTACAGGCGTGAGCCACCCCGCCTGGCCTCTTGATTATTTTAGAAGAAAGAAAAACTCCGCCAACAGCTTCCTAACTTAAAAGTGCAAAAGCTACAATAGCCCTGTGCCATGGCCTATCGACAGGAATACCAACATGATCTGATAACTACCAGAATACTGAGAAATTTAAAAGGAAAATATTAAGGAAACCAGAAATGCGACTTTAAAAAAGAAATCTTACTCACTGTGCCACAATGCATTTCTTTCCTTTCATGTTTTAATTCTCACATGTTATTCTGAATGTGTTATATCACAGAAATATTGCTTGAGTCTGCTGTATTTACATTTTATAATAAAACACTTGAGAAACAATAAATTAAATATTATAGAGTGAAACAGTAACACTGAATTAATTAGGAGTCACTAAAGCAATTTAAATCAATTCTGTGAAAAGAAGATTAGCTGATTTATCATCTTAGAGTATCACAGAAAATCCAAAAATAATCCAAATAAATGTAAAAGTCACCATAGAAGCTAGGTTCACTACATATTAATACTAATTGTTTTAAGCAATAACTAGAATGTCTATGCTTTTTTGTGATTCCATGGTAATGTTGGAGTTTACTACCTTTTGTTTTTTTAGTCAATCCCAAAATCTTAAGCACCTACTATGTGCTACATAGTGTGTTGAATAAGACACTCCTCAGTCTTTCCACTCATGAGGACAATTTCTATGCATGTGATGAGACTGCAACTAGATGAAACAGAGGTACTGCTCTCAGTAGATCAATCAAACCTTCCACAAGGTGAGAGCCACATGCGTCACGAAGCCCTAGCACAGGAACTCATGTGTGTACATGTCTAGCAAACAGGTATTGCTGGGGATACATAATGGATAATGCATATTTGTAAAACTTTAGACACAAGATGACAAAGATAAATCTGTATTAAATATCCCCATGGATTATTATAAATAAGTAGCCAGCAAGTGGAGAAATTGCCCAGATAAAAGGCATAAGCCAAATTCCAGAATAAACTTACATACGACTCTATCATTAATAGAAACTATTGGTAGATTAGAAACCAGGTACTACCGTAGACATACAATCCAGTTGGAAAACTATCATAGCAATCATGTAGCTATAATAAATTATGTTCTGGCTATTCTAAAGAAAACATTGGGAGAAAAAGGTTAAAGTAGAAGAACAGTTTGCTTGCTTTAATTTGTATTTATATATAGTTAGATTACTTCATTTCCAAAAAAGTAAATTCTCATGACTTTTTAAGGAAGCTCTTTGCCATTTGTACTTTGACCACTGTATTAAAAAGGAAAAAAAAAATTTTAAAGGTGGGGAGGAAGGAAGAAAGGAAAGGAGAAAGAGAGGGAGGAAGGAAAGAAAGAAAAGGAAAAAAAAAGCATGCATTATTAAAACCCAAGATATCAGCATCAAGATCTTAGTCAGTAATTCCATTCCCCACTAAAAAGAACCACAGTTCCTTGGAAAAATGACTGATTCCAGGACTGGAGCAGAAAGTAAAAAATTAGTCTAGAACAGCTTACCTAAGTAAGGCAGTGCTAACAACAAAAAAAAAACAGTGGGGGTAGATATGTTGAAGGGGTTCCCACTGGTGAAATCTGGGACAATTTGAGCACCAAAATAATACAGCAATGAATTATAAACCATACAAATATAAATCTGTAAGTTTATACCAATAATAAATAAATAAACATATGCATTCCTACATACAAACAAAGGTAAAAAAATGGGATCTTGCTTACAATAGAACACTGAGTGCCAACTAGTAGCTGTGGAGGCGTGCTACAGTTTAAAAAACCATCACTCTACAGCCATCATAGTTAAGACTGGTTTAGGCAAGAATATGAATGGATGCTCAATTTAAGAGGAAGTTTGAATGAAAAGCAGAATATCTGCATGATGTAAAAGTGTCTTCTCAGAGAATGCCTATTACTTATAATGGAAAAAACTGAAATTATACAATGGAGGAATAGGACAATGACATGATTGAGTGATCAAAATTAATGTAACCAACAAGGAATAAGCACACATTGTATACCTCTGGATGTGCTACTTGAGAGGAACATGTCATGTATGTAGTTTCAGCCAGGAGAGTATAATCTGAATTTAACCATGAGGAATCACCAGACAAAACTAAATGAGGAATTTTCTATTTTATTTTATTTTTTTTAAAGGAGAGGAAGATTTTATTCTTAAGAAAAGCTTGCCAGAGACAGAATATGGATTGCCAGTCTTACATCACACTTTCAGTTCCTCCATTTGGAATTCAGAAATAGGAGGGATCCTGAAGAAATCATATGTTAAACATACTTTGACACCTACTGTGTTATAAAGTATGCCTTAAGAATAGTATATGTAAAAAAAGTTGCTAGCTATAGGGGAAAAAAAAAAGAAATGCTCATGTCATAATGGAAATGTTCCAGACTAATGGAACTAAAGAAATATTACAACTAAATGAAATATATGATCTTATACTGGATGTTGGACCCAAGAAAAAAATGCTAAAAAGGACATTATTGGATCAACTGATAAAACTGAAATATAGAAAACTGATTAAAATACTGTAACGATGTCAAATTTACTGATGTTGATAACTTTACTCTGGTTACATAAAAAAAATCTTTATTCTTTGGGAAAATACATTGAAGTATTTACTGATAAAAGGCCATGATGTATGCAACTTACTATATGGTTTAGAAAAAAATGTATATGTGTGTATGTGTACGTATATTTTTCCACATACATATGCACACATATAGGGGAAAGAGAAAGAAAGAAAGAGAGAAGGGAGAAAGATGGAGAGAGAGGGAGGAAGATCATGTGCAAATGAAAAAGTAAATGGAATAAAATGTTAACACTAGATGAATCTGGGTAAAGGGTATACAGTGTTTGCTGTCCCATTATTATGCTTGTTTATTTTCTAAAAGTAAAGGTTTTTCAGAAGTCTGAGCTATCATTCATCTTTGAGAAGAGACCTTTTTAAACCACTGTTTTACATGATAGTTTTGAAAAGAGAAATGTACTCACCTATTGTTTGGATGATAGCGTTCTGCACAATCTTCTCATCATTGTCTTTGGAACTTGTGCTTAAGTTGCCACTGCCTACAGATCCCCCCTGTAAATAATTTGCTTCAAATTCAACACTGAGACGCAGGTGCTTCAAAAGGGTATTAAAAACTTCCAGCACTGTGGGCCCTGTAAAGAATTACTTATGTGAGCAGATACACTTCTCTAGCATTGCAAACTCAAAATCAATTCTCATTTTTCTCAACAAACATGTTCTGGTTGTTTTCTAAACTGTCAAAAAATCTATAATAATTATTAACTAACCAGTTCATTTTTAAAACTAAGTAAATGAGAAATATTTAAATAAGAAAGTATCCTTATTATGTCAACAAACATTTACTGGGCATCTACCACAAAATGTATATATGCATGTAAGAATTACCAAAAGCTTTCTTGTCTGTTCAAAATAACATATACTGAGACAAAATTTAATCTACTGGGTAAGAATTCCTAAAATTATGATGGTAGCATGAAGATTTATTTTGCATCATTTGAGAATGAAGAAAGAAGAATTTGCCTCAACTATGAGGCAGCAACTACCCAATTTATCAGATTCAGGTTAACTAAATTTTCAGTCTCTTTTTTGTTGTATAAATTGCCTGCACGTTTCTATCACTGCTTCTATCACACTATATTTTCCTTAGTAGGTTTCGTTTCTGACTTCTCTTTATTACAAGCTTTTCTAGGACAAGCAGCCATGTTCAAACGCTTCCCTGAATTTACAGAGCCTAGCGCATAGTTCCTAACATGTAGTAGGCATTAATGAGTGTGATGATCCAATGTATCATGTTTCATTTCATATTTCAAATTAAATAGCTTGCCAATTAAGTAACCTGCTTACATCTCTTTGAGGTAAGTTACAATTGTTTCTCAGCCTTTTGGCTAAGATCAGGTGAAGATAAGTTACAACACAAATAATAATGGAAAGTTCATACCTAAAATGCCCACCTTTATCTGACACTGAAAGAATATTAGAATAGAGTCATCCCTCCATATCTGTGGGTTTCATACCAGGGGATTGAAGATCAAAACTGCAGATCAAAAACATTTGGAAAAAAAAAAAACAAAATAAAAAATAATACAAATTAAAAAAAAACACAATGTAACCACTATTTACATAGTATTACATTGTATTAGGTATTACAAATAATCCAGAGATGATTTAAAGTATATGGGAGATTGTATATAGGTTAATCGCAAATACTACACCATTTTATATAAAGGACTTGAGTATCCCTGGAGTTTGGTATCCACAGGGGTCATGGAACCACTTCCCTGAAGACATGGAGGGATGACTACATTTCATTAGAAACCATGATCAGATTTTCCTCCTAACATCTATATCTCTATTAGGTACCCTTTCCTTTTTCTAATCACATATAAGGTGAAATGTCATCATCTGTGACCTGTGCCTTCTTGTTATCCCTACAATCCTATTGACTTAACATTGCCATTCCTACTATTGCTGTTTAAGGGCAAGTTCTTTTCCTCATGCCTACAACAGTGACAACAGCTTGTGATTTCTCATGTGTCCTACATTTTGCTGCCAGGTGAATTATCCTGTAGCCCATCTCTTATAACAATTACTGTAAATCTTTAAAGACTGTCAGTCAACTGTAGAACTATGTTCTACAGTTCTAACTTCTAAACTAACACCACACATTCTAGCCAAAATAAGCCACATAATATTTTGCTCATGCTAATGCATTTTCCCTTCCTTCTCTGAATCCTAGTTTCTTTATGATATGTGGTCAAAGCCTAACCTGTATTACAGCATGAGGTGGAGTCATCTAACTGAAAGTAAACTACCAGTTTCTTATATCTATATTCTCCCAATGTTCAGTATATAATTAATAATCAAAAACCTTTATTAGAAGAAAGGAAAGGAAGGAGAACTTGATTTGAAGGAAAATGCTTAACTGTGTATCAAAGAGGCCTGAAAATAATTACATGAACTCAAATTTCAAGAGAAATTAGAGCACAATTAAAAATGTATAGAAATACTCTTAAAGGAGTGTTTCATACACTGTTATACCTACTGAAAAAACACTCTGAAACAGATTAAAGCATTTTTATTTTTTTCCTGGCACTCACCTATGGAACCTTTAGCAGCAATGGCGACAGCCTCTAACAGAACCTGAATAATACCTGCTCGAACCCGTGGAGAATCATTTTTACGAGCATCAAGGTGCCCTAGAATCTCCTGGATCACATGGTGAGAATACTGAGCCTAAAGGAAACAAATTAGTACAAATGTGTATGAACAAATACATGCATCCTGGAAGAATTCATAAGAATAAAAAAACATGCGATGCTTAAATGACCGCTTACAGGGGACTGGTACGCATGTCATGAGATAATATGTAGCCGTTGAAAACCACTCCTTTGAGGGATAAACAAGGACACTAGAAAATATTTATGGTACCCTGAGTGAAATAAAGCAAATTGCAAAATACTATGTTCAATAAAATTCAATCTAGTTTGTAAAAAGTAAATAAGACTAGAATTATATATAACTAACTATTAACACTGGTCAACTCTGAGAAATTTTCATTCTTTTTAAACATCTCTGTAATTTCACAAAGAACATGTATACATTCTTATAATTTAATAATAGGACAAAATGTTGCTAAAAATAACAGATTATGACATTTGCAGTTCTTCCTTACCTAAAGTAGATAAATACTATTTATTATGGACACCTAACAATGTTAAACAGACAAAACTCTCGTCTAATCAAGAGTCACTTTCAAAATGAAAATCTTATCGATGTGTACCTGACAAAAATCTAAATCAAGGATATATCAGAAGATTTGGAATTTATAAAGGCAATTTTATCACATATAAAAAATTTCATCAATCACAGTGAATGATATTATGACCTAAAACAATAGCAAATAAAGCACAGCTAAAAAAAAATGTTTAACTCCAGTGAATAGAATTTTTTTTTAACATAGTAGCAAGGTTTTATTTTTTTAAAACCTACACCTATACCCATGAGTCATGAGTGGGTCTACTGCTCTGCACCAAGTTTGTTTTCCTTCAGTGAGTCTCCACTGTCCTGTTTTCAGGCTAGTTATCATTCTCTCCTGTGGAACGGGTGGTTTTATAAGCAGCAGCTGTGTCCTGTATATAATGACTACTCTGCCCCAAGCAAAACTTTTCCCCTCCATCTCTATCAACCTAAGAGATTTCATCTTCAGGTTATTTCTAGCATTTCTGTCGTAACATATCTACTTTTATAATATAATACCTAAGGTAAAAACTAAATTTCCATTTTCATCTTTTTTTTTTTTTTTTTTGAGACAGAGTCTCGCTTTGTTGTCCAGGCGACAGTGAGTGCTGTGATATCAGCCTAGCTCACAGCAACCTCAAACTCCTGGGCTCAAGCAATCCTGCTGCTTCAGCCTCCCGAGTAGCTGGGACTACAGGCATGCGCCACCACGCCCGGCTAATTTTTTGTATATATATTAGTTGGCCAATTAATTTCTTTCTATTTATACTAGAGGACAGGTCTCGTTCGTTGGCTCATGGGGCTGGTTTTGAACTCCTGACCTTGAGCAATCCGCCCGCCTCAGCCTCCCAGAGTGCTAGGATTATAGGTGTGAGCCACCACGCTTGGCCTCTATTTTCATCTTTACTTTGTCTTATCTAAAGCTATGTTAAAATATAAGAATGTTACACAGACAGGCACACACAACACAATCTAAAACTGAACTTCTTGTCCAGGAGGCATGCTTTTGATATGTGAACTTTATGCAACTATTAGAGTCTGCTTTATATGTAAGGTATCCATTTGATTTATTGTCCAAATTGGGATACTTAAGAGAGTAAATCAGGGTTGTTAATAATTACATTTAAAATATAGTTATCCTAAGTAAACCAAGGCATGTGTTCACTCTACCTATAAGGAAAAATTCAAGAATAATATCATGTATAAAAAAATAATATGGAGTGAAAGAAATGAAACTACAAAGATGTTATACTTTACACTATATGTTAAGTCAGGTTTATTGAGGTTTTATTTACTTATTATAAAATCTACCCTTACACTGAAGTTTAGGGCAACATTAATGGATGAACAGCTTTAACCACTTCGGTACGTGCGTCAACTCTAGTCAACAGCCACAGATGAACGCGCAGAGCCTAGTGTCAACTTTAGCCGACAGCCGTGATATGACTTTTCTAATTTTTCATTTATCAAAAATTGTGAACATTTAAAAATAACGTAATAAAAGCATATATGTATATGTTACCTATTCTCATTTACATTACAAGTAAAGCTGCCTGTAAAGTAAAACAAGCTTTCAGTGCTTTAAAGCTTTCCTCATCACACAAGAGCAAAACGGATTTGTCGTCAATGCACAGCACAGACTGTCGTGCGGACTGTGAGTGCTGGCTGTGGGCAAGGTTTCGTGGCTGGTGAGCAACGTATAGAAGTGGTTAAAAAGCAACATAACATAGTGGTATGTAAGCCTTGGAGTCAAATTTACCCATGTTCAAATTCTGGCTCCATAATTTCATAGCTAAAATAGCTCACAGCCTAAGAGAGAGTTACTCAATCCCTGTTTCCCTCATCTCCAATATTTACACAATAACAAGTTATTTCATAGGATTGCTATAGCAATTAAATGAGTTAATTTGTATAGAGCACCAAAATTGTGTCTATCATGTGAAAAGTGCTCAATAAATATTAGTATTTATTACAGCTATTCAATTGGTGACTCCTGTGGTAATATATGACTATATCATTGAACATAACAACGATGATTACAAAAGGCATTTCATTCAGAAGTAATCAGATGCAGGCACTCTTCTAAGCACTTTATATGGATTATATGCACAAACAGTTCTAGGAGGTGGGTTCCACTCAATTACTTTGTGCCCTTCACAGTGCAAATATAACAGGTTTTAGTCACTTGCCCAAGGCCATGCAGAAACTCTAAGGAATGACATAAAAATGATTCTACTCTGATCTCAGAGCACAGCTTTTAATCACTTTACCATCAACAAATCAATTTTGCACAAAAGATAAGCTTTAGACAAAATATTTTCACTTCACCACAAATGCCCTACTATATTTGAAATTGCATCTATGTGCCCTTACATATATAGATTCTGGTCAAGGCTAGTTTATTTTATGGAGAGAGATTGAAATATTACCTAAAAATGATACCTATATTAATTTTATAGTAAATGGCAATTAAAACAATCAAATCTATCATAAGTTTTTTTTTTGTTTTTTTTTGAAGAGATTGAAGATATTACCTTAAAAATTGTACCTTATATTATTTTATAGTAATGCAATTAAACAATCATAATCTATCATAAGTTTTTTTTTTTTTTTTTTGAGACAGAGTCTCGGCTTGTTGCCAGGGCTAGTGTGAGTGCGTGGCGTCAGCCTAGCTCACAGCAACCTCAAACTCCTGGGCTCGAGCATCCTTCTTCTCAGCCTCCCAAGTAGCTGGGACTACAGGCATGCGCCACCATGCCCGGCTTAATTTTTTAATATATACTCAGTTGGCCAATTAGTCTTTCTATTTTTTAAAAAATAGAAAGACTAATTGGCCAACTGAGTATATATTAAAAAATTAAGCCGGGCATGGTGGCGCATGCCTGTAGTCCCAGCTACTTGGGAGGCTGAGAAGAAGGATGCTCGAGCCCAGGAGTTTGAGGTTGCTGTGAGCTAGGCTGACGCCACAGCACTCACACTGCCCTGGCAACAAGCCGAGACTCTGTCTCAAAAAAAAAAAAAAAAAACTTATGCATAGATTGATTGTTTAATTGCCATTTACTATAAAATAATATAGGTCTACATTTTTAAGGTAATATTTCAATCTCTTC